GGAACCCTCCAGTCGCGCCGCCTCTTCCAACCCCGCAGGCGTTCCACCGGCCACTGGAACGGAGATCTCCGCCAAGATCGCAGCGGCGGCGAGCAGCAACTCCGCCAGGCGGGAGTGTGCGTCCTGCAGGCTGGTGTCGGAGGCGGGCGGAGCATCGGCCATTTCCGCGAAGTGCTGCATCGGCGGCAACTCCTCGTCCTCTCCTCCCGAGGGTGGTGTCACCGGTACGTCGTCGTCTCCCCGGTCTTGCACGTGGGAACGAGAAGTCTTCCTTGTGTCCATTCTCCTTGAAGACAGGTTTACTTCTGACGCCAGTTGTAAAGTAGTAACTCGGCAGGAGACGACTTCACGGGTAGCACACTCTTTATTTTCGCCAACTTGTAGTTACACGGATGACTAACACCCTACTTCGTTACACGGGTGACCAACACCCACTTAGCTACACGGGTGACGGACACCCACTCAGCTACAACTTCGTTACACGGGTGACCAACACCCACTTAGCTACACGGGTGACCAACACCCACTCAGCTACACGGGTGACCAACACCCACTCAGCTACACGGGTGACTAACACCCACTCAGCTACACGGGTGACCAACACCCACTCAGCTACACGGGTGACTAACACCCACTCAGCTACACGGGTGACCAACACCCACTCAGCTACACGGGTGACTAACACCCACTCAGCTACACGGGTGACCAACACCCACTCAGCTGTACTGACACGGGCTCTTACGCCCTGTAGCCTTCCGGGACACACCCAGCCGGGGTGCCCGTCTCGGCTCTGGGTACCACCGTCCCGACCCACACGGGCGTCGGACTACGGTCCCCCCAGTCTCGGCTCCGAGCCACACAGGGCCCCTACCTCCTCCACCCCGTCTTCGGTCTTCAACTGGTTAACACTGACCACGAGTGCTCTCGCGCGTCCCCCTTTATACCCCTCCTGCGGACGTCGCTGAGAGTACTCACTTATCTGACCAATCACTGCGCACTCGCTACGATCCTCTTTTCCCAGCTTGTGTGAGCGCGCCTCACCACCGGCGCGCGCGTCCATGCCACGCCCACACCGCGTGCCCAACCCCGCGCCCCGTGATCCATCACTGCCGGCGCACGTCAATACCACCACTACATATACAAACATCAGTAGTCATGTAAACAGGACTTTGTATATTAAATGGACATGTTGTATAGATTGTTAATGTATACGTTGTGAAGTGGTAGATTGTATCATTCATGCTCTTTGTGCGCTATGTTTAATTCATTTTATTTGGATTTGACACTTTTACTGATCTTGAAAACTTTAACAGATGAAAAAGAATAAAACTTAGTTTATTTAAATTGGTCTTTTCTTTAACCTCCCACTGACAAAATGTAGCGTCGAGTTAACTCCAAATATGTTGGTGATGCGAGCTAAGAGTCTATTTTCTACCTAAGCCTCCGTTTGTGGAAAGCCCTCTTCATAGTGTACTAAGGAGAGCTGTCGTGATATGCGGCATGCCTCAGTCTTGTCCAGAGTCTGAGTGCCGCTCTGCACGTGGTCGATGGTAGAGAAACCTTTCCTAAACCCTGCTTGCTCACGTGGTTGGTTGGCCTCTTACATTGTCCGTCAGCCGCTTTCCAGTGACCTTGGTGAACAAATCATCGAGTGGACTGAGTGGACACACGGACATTACATACATAGAATGGAACAACTCTTTAAGTGTCTAAAGAAGCGTGAAGAAGTGAAGGGTCGCAATTCCACAGAGAGACAGAGGAAGCCAAGGACCAGAGAAAAAGAAGGCAAAGTTGTGGACACGTTGGGTGGCAATAAAAGCAAGGGGGCTTGGGCAGTGCGCGTCACTGGCAGGGACGATGAGCGGTGGTCGAGACTGACGACGGAGTGGCAGCCAAAGGAGGAACTCGTCCCCCGTAGAGACGCAGCGGCGAGATGAGCTCGCATGCAGCTGCCCGATGAAATAAGCATCGATCTAAGTTTAACGGCATTTACACATTATCTCAAAATGTGTCTAATATATTCACTTTACAATGAGATATATGCAACTTAAAACGGGTTACTGAAGTTAGAGGCGTTGTATACGGGTCTGGATATTATACCCTATGATATATACCAAAGACGGGTGGTATACAATATATTTCAACATGGCCTTACAAACCGACAGTGATAACAATCACACCACGCTGCACTATTATTGACGTGAACAACTTCACCCCTGGGACTGCGAGTGTTCGGACATCCTATATCTGAAGAACTGGCTTGTGCAGCACGCAAGCATCGTGAATCCACAGGGCCATGGGGGAGTTGATAACGTGAAGTGCTCTGGTACCAAGAGCCCCGTCCGGCCCCAGTGTGAACCCGCGTACACGGAGCCGCGATCACGGCAGGAGTTTCGCACTCGTGGTGTGTGTGGTGCAGCGTGCTCCATGCTGATGATGATGATGCGGTGCGCGCAGTGGTAAGCGCGCTGCGCATTAAACCCTGCGACTTAAGTTCGCTTCCTGCTCACGGACAACACCAGTGATAATTACCCAAGCAGGTCCTGGGCCTCCCCTAGGTAGACTCAGCCTCAAATTAGTACCCGGTGCGGTGTGTAAACATCGACATTGGGGAGACAAAGGCGGTCAGGCGTGGTGCTGGACACCCTTGTGTGCCCGTGCCTGCCTTCATGAGTGCCCGCTGACAGCACTTGCCCCAAACTTACAAGTCTATACGGGGATCTTTATCTTTGCAGTAGGTATACAATACCGCGTGTTGTAGTCGGAGTGTGATGGTCAGTGGTCGGTCACGTGACGAACGCATGGCACCGCCCGTGGCACGAACAGGCGCCATCGCTCTCGTTTCACATTCGCCGAGAGACGGGAGGGGAGCGATGGCGACGAGACACGTGGGCAGAGACACGTGGGCAGAGAGCTGTGACGTAGGATTACGCTGCGTCTTACTGTGACGGAGGAAATGTTAAGGGGCCTTCCATAAATGACGTCACGCGATTTTGGACGATTTTTGACCCCCCCCCCCCATCGTCACAAAAAGTCAGACCCTCCCTCAAATATGACGTCACAAAGCCCCCCCAAAAAATAACATGCTTCAAATCGCTTTAAACTATTGTCATTGTAGTGCGTATTTAATGTGGCGCTGCACTCTGATGTTGTAGGAGAAAACATTTATTAAAAAGTATATTTAATTAAGTAGAACGTGTTGTCTATATTTATTTAAAGTTGTGCATTTTGATGTGACGTCACATTTCTCACCCTCCCCTCGTCACAAATGTCTGCCCCCCCCCCAGGTGCGTGACGTCATTTATGGACGGCCCCCTAACCACTGTGCAAGCCCGCAACTCACAATATGGGGCACGACCACCAGCGTTCAGGCAGGCCCGACTCGGCTGACGTCTGAGACGCGACTGGATGTTGAAACGCCGGTCCAGACTTTGCTGCACAGACTCAACGCCGCCCAATTCTGCACAGGACGTGTGGCCGATGGGACGTGATGCTTTGCTAGAAGACGTGCACATGCGCGATTGTTCCCCCTTGTTACACAGAGATGTTTCAGGTGTCCACGTTTTCAGCATCCAATGCCCTCCCCCTACTTTGCCCGTGCATTTGTGAAATGCATTGCTTGCGATATCCCACGGCATAAGGATGACGCCCTAAGTGATCATTATTATATGCAGTGTTATCATTAACCTCTTCATGAACCATTGTCGACCCACTGCTGGATGAAGTTTCTCCACGCACTCTGCGTCCACCCTTCGCGCCCACGCGATGCCCCGATCATCCGTCGCCCAAATCTCGGGTCCATCTCTCGCCCTCTCCTTTGGCTAAGGGGGGGTTAAACGAAATGTGAGATTAACTAAAAGGCGTTTAAAAGAACTCACCGAGTCTGAACGGCTGATGCTGTAACCATCGTGATGCCTCCGAGACAAAAAAAAATCCAAAGCCTCCAGTTTTAATTCCGCAAAAAAGCACTCCACAAACCCCCACCCCAGGGAGGTGCAGTCAGCAAAAAAAACCGAGCTTGTGGTTTTGTCCGGTTTGGGCGATGGTGGTAATGGCTGTGGGTCACCGTAGGATAATTCGGCTCGTATATTGGGAGACTCAGCAGCCACGGCGCCCGCAAGGCGCCCCCCCTTCCAATCGCCGCCTCCGCTGCTGCCACTTCTGCAAAATAAAGTTGACTTCCTACAGCTGGATAAAGGCCTCCCCACCCCACGCCGTGTTGGTTCACGTGACCGAATACTTCATTTCTTTAGAACTGCTCTTTGTGTTTAGTTTGTCGTCCTTCCCCTGCACCTCCGAATAAGCATGGTTGCCTATGTACGATGCAAAAAATGCTCAACAAACTAAACTTGTTATTTTACCAGGTAAGGGGCACTTTTTCAGAAGCGACCTGGTCACAAGTGATAGCCTCAACCAAGTTGGTTTATCACCGTCACGCGGACATTTATGGCAGCCAAATCCGTGCTTATCATGTGGACATTTATAGTGGCCAAATACTCTAAACGTATGTTTCTAAATGTGGAGGGAAGTACCGGTGGACCCGGAGAAAAAAATCCACTCTACACGGGGGGGACATGCAAACTCCTAATATACAGGCGTCAAGGTCGGGATCGAACCCACGACCTTCTGTATACCAGGCAAGGTAGTTAACATTTCGCCACCGCGGCCCCCCATACATCACACACCCTGCTGAGCTTCCTCGGCTAGGATGACATTGTGCACGAGCCAGATGGATTTCCGTCACGGCCTTGGTTCCAGTTAAAGACTCCTCCTGAATGAACACTCGCGACTGGCGGCTGTCGTAGAACGGTGACGTCCCGACGCTTTTTACACGGCACCCAACTGCACCGTCAGGTGTGTGACCTTTCAAGTCAGGAGTGTATCAAGTGAGGTGTGTGTAATCTTTCAAGTCAGATGCGTGTAACATTTAAAGTCCCCAACCGAATATAATTTCATCGCCGTCGCAATTTTTTGTGGGAAGAGAAATCCCGACAGCCTGGTGACATATTTGACACTTTAAAAAGGGTCCAGTTTATTTTTTGTTTGTACAAATGCACCGTCACTAAAAACGTAATGAGAAATTATTGCAAACATCACAGGATATACATTCTTAAAGCAGGAATTGCCGTAGTGTTAAAAAACGCTGACCCAACTAAAGCACTCAAACATCGGACTTTTAAACGCGCCGCGAATCCGCTTGCGACCGGCAACGTCCGTCGGACCTTTGCGGACCCGCGACCCCACGCGTCAAAGACCCACGGTGGCCTGTTGATGAGAGGCTATCAAGCCAAAGCCGGGTGTGCGGCAGTGTCTCATGTTCTAAGGGAATGCTACGAAGATACACTGATCCATCAGACGACTGCGATCGGCGGATTAATGGTCATTTAATTCCAAGGAAAAGCTCATTAGAAACATAGCCAGCGCTATTTATTTATCATTTTTAAACTATATCTTCAAGGTGCCTTAATATACATTTTTCTTCTTCTGTCAAGTGAAACACGAGCCCTTTTTTTTGCAACACTCATGTCCGTACCGAGCTTAAGTTTTAGGCGTCAAGTTCAAACATTATATTACTTCTCCGCCGGCTGTCCCATTGGACACACGCACGCAAAGCACACGCACGTACAGACGCCAACATCCAAGCGTAGCCGACACAGGTGGTGCGTGTGTGTGTGGTCGCAGCCTTCCATCTCAATTCCACAACAACAAAAACCCAAGCTCAAGGTTTTTGGCCCGCCTCCTAAAGAGCTTCAAGCTCACCAGATTCCTCCAGAATAAATAGAGATTTCTAATTACGATTCAATGCCATGCCAGACCCTGACGTGAAATATGCTCGAATACGCACCCGAGGACGGATATGGGGTCAACCAACAGGTTCAAGATTCTCGGGTGTGGCTGTCCACACGTCACTTCCCAAACTCCCTCCACCGTGGCTCCGTGTTTGTCTGGACACCAGCCACGGCTTTGCAGGCCGTAAACGCTGCCGTGCTACCGCACATCGGCGAATTACCTTTTTTTCTTTAAACGGCAGAGACACACACACCCCCAGCTGATCGCAGCTGGGACTTCAGATACAATAGACCTCCGTGCATGCATGGGCATGAAAACAAAGCTAAAGATCACCCACCCCACCATGTAGCCTTAACAGACTGTTGGGGCAAGTGCTGTTAGCGAGCACCTAATGAAAGCCGGCACTGTGGCACGCGAGGGGGTGGGTGGCCAACACCACGCCCGGCCGCCTTTGTCTCCCCAGTGGCGATGTTTACACACCGCAACACCAGGTACTCATTTGAGGCCGAGTCGACCTAGGGGAGGCCCGCTGCTGGTTCGGATGATCGTCACCGGTGTTGGCCGCAAGCGGGAATAGAACTCGGGTGGCCGGGTTCGTAGCGCAGCGCCGTGGTGCTAACCGCCACGCCACCGCTCCCCCATGGGCGTGCAACACGCACACACACTTAGCTTACAACAACAGACAAGACGCTCGATAAAATTACAGGCCAGCACTCGTATCTCCCAGTTCCTCTCACAATTATCGCCTATACCCCCCCTACCACCACCCCACTACGCTAATGAAAAATAAAAAACCCCCATCAGAACACAATTGTCGAGGGTCCGAAAGTGACGCACGCACGCTCGTTTTATATACATCGAAACTACAGAAGCTCATTGGTGTGTGTGCAGGCAGCGTATGAACGTGACGTGGAAGCGGACTTTTAAACGGTTTAAGGCCGTGGCGAGCGCAAACAGCGCGCCGGCGGCAATTGCAGCTGCTTGGCCAAACGCCTCTCTCGCTCGCACCGGCAGTGACCCCCACTGCAACGCAACACGGCACACGCAGTCGGTGAAATGGCGGCAACAGTGACAGACGCATTGTGTGTGTGCGTGGGTGTGCGTGTGTGCATGTGGGTACGTGTGTGCATAGGTACGTGTGTACGTGGGTACGTGTGTGCGTGGGTACGTGTGTGCATGGGTACGTGGGTGCATGGGTGCGTGGGTACGTGTGTGCGTGGGTGCATGTGTACGTGGGTGCGTGGGTACGTGTGTGCGTGGGTACGTGTGTGCGTGGGTACGTGTGTGCGTGGGTACGTGTGTGCGTGGGTACGTGGGTGCGTGGGTACGTGTGTACGGGGGTACGTGTGTGCGTGGGTACGTGTGTGCATGGGTGCATGTGTACGTGGGTGCGTGGGTACGTGTGTGCGTGGGTACGTGTGTGCGCGTACACGTTCTTGTAGGGCAGGGTTGGTTAGCAGACAAAACAGAGAGACATTTTTTTTTTATTCGGTAAAAAAAACTCAACTCTTTTGCACGGCGTATGTTGTGCGTATTCTATGTAGACATCGCCACCGGGGAGACAAAGGCGACAAGGGCGTGGTGCTGGCCACCCACCGCCTCGTGCGCCGTGCCGGCCTTCATAGGTGCTCGCTAAACAGCGCTTGCCCCAACAGTCTGTTCAGGCTACAGGGGGATCTGTGTTGTTGTTGTTGTGTGGGGTGCGTGCAGGCGAGCGCGCTCACCCCCGTCAGTGCTTGCCCAGCGACGTGACTGTCGAGTTGAGGATATTCTCGTGGAAGTTGATTCCACGAGCCTGCGACAGGTCCCTCTGTAAAATACAGCAGCAGCACCACCACACACACACGCACATTAAACCATTACATACCGTACACACACCACGTGAACACAAGCAGCACCACTGTATACGAACACAACCCCCCCCCCCCCACCACAGTAACACCTCCGATTAGCACGGTTGGCTACGTACGGTGCGAAAGAAGTTCAACATACGTACATACTTCCCCTCCCCCACCACCGCCACCACCCAGCCACTCACACCCAGCCTACACACACCACACCCCCGCACCCACACAGCTGCATCTGCTGGACATCTGTGACCCTACTGGACATCCGCCCTCCGTAGTTTCTGGAGGGCGCCTGCCTCTCAAACTCCCCAGCAGCGTCCTTCACAAACCTCCTCCAGAGGCCGATCTTGACACCGCTGGTATACGGACACACACACCAACACCCACGCGACACACACACACCAACACCCACCCAGCACACACACACACCAACACCCACCCGGCACATACACACACACACCAATACCCACGCGACACACACACCAACACCAACACCCAACCGGCACACACACACAGACACCAACACCCACCCGGCACACACACACAGACACCAACACCCACCCGGCACACACACACAGACACCAACACCCACCCGGCACACACACACACACCAACACCCACCCGGCACACACACACACCAACACCCACCCGGCACACACACACACACCAACACCCACCCGGCACACACACACAGACACCAACACCCACCCGGCACACACACACACCAACATCCACCCGGCACACACACACACACACCAACACCCACCCGGCACACACACACACCAACACCCACCCGGCACACACACACACATCAACACCCACCCGGCACACACACACACACCAACACCCACCCGGCACACACACACACCAACACCCACCCGGCACACACACACACACCAACACCCACCCGGCACGCACACACACACACACCAACACCCACCCGGCACACACACACACCAACACCCACCCGACACACACACAGATACACACCAGGTACACACACACACACACAGACACCAACACCCACCCGGTACACATACGCACACCAACAACCACCCGGCACACACACACACACACCCCTGGTGTGCCCTCACCGTGAACTCCGAGTAGGACGCGACGCATTTGAGCGAGGACGTGGGGGTTGGCGCCCTGCTCGGGGTCCTCGAGTTGTGCTCCGCAAGTGGGGGGCGCGGGGGGCGCCCGCACGTGCGACCAGGGGTCTGTGGGGGGCGAGGAGACGTTGATGAAGGGGGGAGTGAAGTGGTTAGCGCTGCGAACACAGCGACCCGAGTTCGATTCCCGCTCACGGCCAACACCAGTGCCGACTATCCGAACTGGTCCTGGGCCTCCCCTAGGTCGACTCAGCCTCAAATGAGTACCCAGTGGTGCGGTGTGTAAACATCACCACTGGGGAGACAAAGGCGGCCGGGCGGTGTGCTGGCCACCCACCCCCTCGTGTGCCCACGCCGGCCTTTATAGGTGCTCGCTAACAGCACTTGCCCCAACAGTCTGTTACAGGCTATACGGGGGATCTTTGTCTTTGGGAGGGGGGTGGTGATATGAAAGGGTTTACAAGAATCCCATCCCCATTCCCGGTGCTCTCTCCCATTGCTGCACTCATTGCATCGTAGGCATCTGGACCCTGTGCTCAGCAGCTGTGATATACACACACAAATATATACATAAAAAGCAAGGCACAGCAAAGGAGAGAAAAGCAGTCTCTAAAGCAAGTTCATGTACGTGTTAACGTTGAACATCTTTCGCACCGGACCGTAGCTAATCTGAGGTGCGGGGAATAGGCACACTAAAAACAAAAATGAGTTCAATATCGATATTAAAAAGTGCACAGGTCCAGCGGCTTCCTATTATCGGAAGGAAGAGTGCGTTCCAGACGGCCGCAGACGCGCATCTGTAAGCGCGCGACACGGTGACCGTCTTTGTGAGATTATTTGAGCAATAACCAAACGGAAGAGATTGTACAGAAAGTCAGTACAAACAGAGGAGACATCACTAATAAGACGATAAGAGAATCTTGCAATTTTCAGAATGGTGACAAATCCTTACGAATGGCGAGTCAGGGTGCCTTGAATCGTGGTGGTGGTGGTGGGGTGGTGTGGAGGTGGCTTGGGGAGGGTGCCTTTGCATGCGGAGGTGTGAAAGTGGAGCGGGGATCTCCACGAGACCGTTGGTGGGTGCTCCTCCCCGTCGTACCTTGCGCTCCGAGGTGGAGGGTTTGCCGTTGGCGGCTCCCGGGGAGTTGCACATGGTGCCGCTTGCGGCCGAGCGGAACAGTGTGGAGTTGATGCCCATCGGCGCAACGGTGGTGGCGTTCATCTGCGGTGGGAAAGAAAAGAAAAATGTAAAATCAAGAAGCCTTTCCCGTTCCGATGACGTACGTACACGCCATACCGTTGTTGTTGTTTCCGATTCCGTTCCAATGTCATCCGTGTGTGTCATCGGACCGGGAATAAAAACTAAAATGAAATAACTCTAACGGTAGCGAGGCTCCCACAAGGCCATGCGGGAGGGCGTGCGGCACAGTTTGGCGCCAGCTATCGTAGGGTGGCGGTCGTGTCGCTAGGGTTCTCCGCGGTTAGTAATGACGTCTTTAAAAACAACGGCGCTACTACGCCTCTGTAAATAAAATGTAACGCCGAACCGCTGGCGCGTTCCGAGATTCAGCAGTGAACGGGACCCCCGCCCCGCAACTTGGAGATGTCTCGCAACGACAAAGGGTTAAAAGCGCACAAACCAATCACTGTCGCACAAAGTGAACGAGCGTTGCACATAGTTGACCATTGGTAGCACTCCAGACTTATTTGCGGATATCATCGTTTCCAAACATCACCCCCCATCTGGAAATAAAAGCGATATTCGCTGCAACAAACATCATCTGTACGTGTTATAGGTTGTAAAGTTGCAATTATTAAAATACTTTTGCCAGGTTATACAAAGCGAAGTGCAGATAAGTTTTAAATAATAATCTTTGTTCACAGTTGTCACTTCGTATGTACGTTGAACTTCTTTCGCATCGTACGTAGCCCACCGTGCTTATTGAAGGTGTGGGGGAAGGACAACAAACTAAACACAAAAAGCAGTTCTAAAGAAATGGGTTTTAAATATCGGTGACTTTAAAGTGCCTATCTCCAGTGGCTTCCCAACATCGGAAGAGCGTTCCAACTGCGTGCTGCGGTGAAAATGACCGGCTCATTACATCGTTGTATATCGCACTGCGACAAGCCGGGCTAGCGGACCTCCCATCTGCCTCTGCGGGCGTACCCTGCGCGTCTTGTTGGGGGTGTTGGTTCCACAGAAGCGGCGCTTCGAGGGCGTCTTGGGCTGGCTCCCGTACGCCATCTCCTCCTCCAGGGTGCGCACCTTCTTCACCTGCTGCTCACGAAAAATGATGCAGAGGGAAATGCTCCACATTACCGTACAAAAATGCAAATACGTAAAGAAATTACGGCAGGTCCTCGCTTGACGCGCGTTCGCACGATGACGCGTTTTCCCTGTAATGTGGCTCTTCCATTTGGGAAAAAAAAATTCACTTCGTGGAACGCGCACCGCTATAACGCGGCACGCACACCGTTATAACGTGGAATGTGCACCGCTATAACGTGGCACGCACACCGTTATAACTTGGAATGTGCACCGCTCTAACGTGGAACACGCGCACTGTTATAACGCGGCATGTGCGCCGTCATAACGCCGTTTACGAGCAGTCGGCGACAAACTACTTTCGTGAGCTGCACAGCCGAGCGGTGCAGTGATACGGTACGCGAAGTGACAGAGTAACGCGGTGGCGGCGTGCCCTCAGTGTCTCGCCAAACGTGGGGAGGTGGGAAGGGGGGGTTGTGTTACCCTCTCAATCTTCTCCCGCTCGCGCTCCTGCTTGAGAGCTTCCCACTGCGCCGCGATGTAGTCCAGCAGGGGCCGGCCCGCCACCTGGAACCGCCGCCCGGCCTGCTCCTCCCACACGGCAATCTGGGCCTTCAGATCCTCCTCCAGCTGCACGCAGGCACACACCGCAACACGCGACGCACGGTTTCTGACAAGCGCAAACTGGTGTGGGTCTTCACAAAGATATTCATGCGCTTTAACGAGAACCTACTTTTTATTTGTACCAGGTAAGTCTCACTGAGCTATGTAGCGCTCTTTCAGAGGCGATCTGGCTAGCACAAATGATCGCTTATCATGTGGAAAGTTATCGCAGCCAAATACTCCAGTTATTATGTATGTTGAACTTCTATGCAGCCAACCGTGCTAATCAGAGGTTTAGTGTGGAATTAAAACTCAAAACTAAACTATTTTTACTTTACCGCGTAAGGCCCATTGAGCTATGTAGTTTTTTTTCAGAAGCTACCTGGTTATAAATAATAGCTCAACGAAGTGGCCTATGGTCACGTGGAAATGGAAACTATCCAAGCACTCTTAACGCATGTTGGTTCTAAATGTGAAGGGAAAAATCGGAGGACCCAGAGAAAACTCCGAGCGACCACGGGGAGAGAGACACCGCAAACTCCATATATACAGGTGTTCAGGGTCGAGATTGAACCAATCAACCCACGACAACCTGCACATCAGGTGTGGTAATTAACATTTCGCCACCATAGTGACATTGGTGTTCACATATGCACACACACTTAAGCCTGTCGTGTACATAAATTGACGAAGATGCGTAGCCAACACCACGCCCGACCACCTTTGTCTCCCCAGTGGCGATGTTTTACACACCGCACCAAGTCCTCATTTGAGAGACGGAGTTAACCTAGGCGAGGTTCAAGACCGAATCAGATAATCATCACTGGTATTGGCTGTGAGCTGGAATCGAATTCGAGTCGCCGGCTTTGTAGCGGAATCCACTATCCACCTCTCACAAGCATACTTATCCTCCACGTATCCGGGCAGAAAGCGCGGGGCGCGAATGCCGTTCGTGAACAAAATAGAACGCCGGGAGAGATCTGGGAACGCCGGAGGGGTGGGGAACGCTGAAGGGATTGCGAACGCTGGTGCGGGAGGCAGCGGCGACCTTGGGCAGCCCCTTCTGCAGGTGGGCCCTCTGTTTCTCCTCGCGCAGCAGGCTGCCCCCGCGGTTCGAGAAGCGGTTGGGGTCTGCGGCTCGCCGCTGCGCACACGCGACGGGGGAACACGGCACGTCAATGACAGCACGTGCTCGCACGGGCACGCGGTAAAAGCGAGGCACGCGAAACACGCGAGGCACACGAGCGGCACACGTGCAGCAAGCACAGCGCACGCCGCAGCACAAGCGTGGGGCTCGGCTACACAGCGTACGGAGAAAGGCGAATAATAACGCAATGCACACGGCTGAACACACCACTACCAACTTTAACTCCGAGGTTAACGCTGTTCATAAACCATGATGCCAACGCTGAACACGAACCACGTCTCCTAACCCCGAAGCTGATCCCAACCCCCTTAACAGTTTAACCCTCACCCCTAATTTGAGCCGACAACACTAACCCAAGCTAACAAGAGCAGCCATTTTTTGTTCGAATTCGGTAAAAAAAAAAAAAAATCTTAATATTTCCAGAACCGCAATGCTTGCGGTGCATAGGAGACGGTGGTGGGTCCTGAATAAATCACTCGCCACGAAGCGGCAGTTCTATAAAGAGCCACCGCGTGCGGCTCCGCAGATTGCCCACCCCAGCACCAACCCAAACCCCGATTAACACCCCACCCCATAACCCTACCCAAAACTCCATAACATTAACCGCAGCCCGACCGCCATTGGACTCTGCGCGCGCGTGCATACCTCGAACTCCAGGTACTGCTGCCAGGCGGCGTCCCAGCGGCGCACGCCGTCGTAGAGGGCTTGGTGCTGCTCGTGGTGACCCCGCAGCCGGTTCGCCTCCTCCTCGTGCTCAACCAGCAGCTCCTCCGTCGCGTCGTCTGCGCCCGGAAACAAACGATTGCAACCGAACCGTTAAAACTATTTTCAAAACGGGCCAGGTAAGGCGACATGGCCGCAAGTGACAGCACCACGAAGTGGCTTATCGCGTGGAAATTTATAGCAGCCAAATGTTATTACCGTCACTACCGTCACCACCGCTGTGGTTATTACCGCTGTGGTAGAGGGTGAACGCTCGCTGCTCCTCCTCGCTGACGTAGCACTTCTCCCAGAGTGCGGCGATCTCCGTGCGCACGCCCGCCAGCACCGTGCGCACGTTCTGCCTCTTCAGCTCCACGAGGCGCGACAGCTCCTGCTTAAGCTGCACGCGGACAAAGGCAAAGATCCCCATGTAGCTTCCACGGACTTGATGGGGCAAGGGCTGTTAGCGAGTAGCGCCTACGAAGGCCGGCACTGTGGCGCGCGAGTCGGGGGGGTGGGTGGCCAGCGCCACGCCCGACCACCTTTGTCTCCCCAGTGACGATGTTTACACATCGCACTGGGTAATCACAACTGAGGCCGAGTCGACCTCGGGGAGGCCCCGGACCGGTTCACATATTCGTCACTGGTGGTGGCCGTGAGCGGCAATCGAACTCGGGTCTGCAGGTTCGTAGCGGAGCGCGCTAACCACACACACGCTCCACTACGTACGGTTGAACGAGATGATCTCAACGTACATACATACTTACTGGCACGAGGGCTATCGTTTGGGAAACCCGGCCCTCAGAGTCCGTGGTGGCGGGTGCAGGGGGGGCTCGCTATAGAGCCGTGTTTGCAAGCGCGTGTTTGGCTCGCACCTTGTCCATGTCGGAGGGCTTGCTGTTGTGAATGCAGGCAGTGAAGGCGTCCCGCTCGCCCTGCTCCACGTTCAGGCGGTCCCACAGCCTCCCCACCTCGCCACGCAGCTCGGAGCACACCTCGTCGTTCAGAGCACACTCGCGCTCCAGCTAGAGTAGAGAGTGACACGAGAGGGGAGAGGTCAGAGAGTGCGTGGAGGGCAGGAGAGCGAGATTAGAGGAAGGCAGGTAGGAGAGTGTGCATGGAGGGGAGTGGAGTGAGATGGGAGGGAAGAGGTAGGAGTGTGTGTGGTGGGGAGAAGAGCAAGATGAGCGGGGAGAGTGGAGAGGTGTGGAGGGGAGTAGAGTGAGATGAGAGGGGAGAGGTGGGGAGTGTGTGTGGCGGGGAATAGAGCAAGATGAGAGGGGAGAGTGAGATGAGAGTGGAGAGGTGTGGAGGGGAGTAGAGTGAGATGAGAGGGGAGAGTGGAGAGGTGTGGAGGGGAATAGAGCAAGATGAGAGGGGGGAGTGAGATGAGAGGAGAGAGGTGGGGAGTGTGTGGAGGGGAGAGGAGTGAGATGAGAGGGGGAGGTGGGGAGTGTGTGGAGGGGAGTAGAGTGAGATGAGAGGAGATGGCAGAGGGGTTGGGTGGCTGCATCCTCGCCCTCACCTGGGCGAGGAGCGTCTGGAGGCTCAAGATGTTGTCCTTGGAGAGGCAGAACTCCTCCTCGTCCTCGCACGCCACGTCGCGCTCAAACGACGAGTCCGGCGAACGCTCCAGCTGCGCCATGCACATCACGATCTGCTGCCGCGTCTGCGTGAACTGCTCCTGGCGCCGGTCCTGCAAGCACGCAGCGCGGAGGCGACAGGAGTATGGTGCGCAGTCCGACGTAGGAAAACAAAGCGCGGTGCAGTCGCACCAACCCACACACCCACAACATGTGCACCAGATAAGGTTTGCGGTCTTTTAAGTAATTTACCCCGCAGTTTTGATTCTACGTGAATAGTATGTACTTTCAGGGTGTAAGTTGAAGGCAGGAGTAGCGATCATCTCGGACGAGTGAATTACAGATTCAGGAGTAATTCCCGAGGTATGCATTAATCGTCCTGTACCAAATGACTGTGTAATACGCGGCATACATTCTACTGATTCCTTGTTCAAAGAGTTGGCAACACCCTCCGGCTATCCAGATTCCCTCATTAGGTTGGTTATATTTCCCGTCCCCTGTCTTCACCCAATTTAAATTGTCACCTCCCTCCCGTCTTGACGGCCCCACTTAGTTGGGCCATCGGGCTCACCTCCCCCTCCTCCCCCTTCTTTCTCCCCACCCCCATATACGGCTCAGTTGCGTCGGGACGGTTCTCCGCGACTGTCAACTCACGGATTTGCGACTTGCTCGACGTGACTGTAACGGGCTCGTGTTTCGTAAAAAAAAAAAAAAAACCTTGCCAACGCTGCCCCCCCATCTCTCCCCCCTCCCTGCACGCACCTTCTCGGCGACGAGCGTCGACACCGCCTGTCGCAGGAGCGCGAGCTGCTCGATGGAAGGCACGGGCCCGGAGGTCGGTGGCCGGTGGGGGCGCCGCTCGCACAGCACGCCGCACAGCCGCTCCTCGGCGTCGTCGAGGCTCTGCAGCTCGCGCAGGCGCTCCCGCTTCTCGCGCACCAGCGTCTCCATGCGCGTGCGCGTGTCCTTCTCCAGCTGCAGCAGCGTCAGGTTCTCGTCCGGCTGCACGCGCCGAGGAAAACATGCGTCACACACCGTCTAGTTTGTTCCATTTCGCCTAAATATCATCATCACGATCGTCAGACGTGATCTATAAATTGGCCAGGTGGCTCAGCGGTAGACAGAGCAACTCGCAATTGGAAAGTTAGGAGTTGTAGTACACGTTGGGGGGGTTGACCGAGCCCATTATTCGTCCAAGACCAACAAAATTGATACCACTTTGTGGGTAAGCCAAGAGCGGATGTCCTATTGATACTCACCCCCACCAAAGGAATTAATTACCGAACACAGTAACCAGCCTGGAGCTGTGCCTGAATGGTAATTGGGGGCCAAACACAGCCAAAGCCCAGCACCAGCCTGTAAGAGCATTGCTCCAGGCCAGGCCTGACTTGAGACTGAAAACAACCCACAGCAAGTTGAGAACCAGGTCGAGAGGCAAAGGACCGTAAACCTGGAAGGCCGGGAGAGAGAGGTCGGAGCAAAGCCCCTGCAGTTCCGTCTTGCAAGTGGTGACGCTCTTCATCAACCGATCCTTCAAGGCCTCCTCCTCCGAGATCATCTCGTTCAGCAGCCTCTGGGGGTGCGCAGAAGCACACACACACACAGCAAGTGTAAACCGCATGCGCATTAATTTTATACTCCGTCGAATTTGGAGCACCTGTCCCCATTTCTACTCGGCAATAAATTAAGCAATAACCAATCCAGGATCCCTCAAGGAGTCCCTGCTCATCTCTTAGCAAACTGGCAGGTCCTTACACCGCAGTGAGTGGGAACCGGTTATGGTAAAGTAAAATGCAGAGTTGGGGGTCTGTTACACTATGGAAGTTGTATGTATTTATGTATAACTTCTTTCGCACTGTACGTAGCCAACCGCGCTAATGAAATTATAATTCAATTTGGAGGTCTGTATGCGACCGTATCTCAAGACGCTGGTCAAAAAAAATGGGGGTTTACTTTATGATGATATTTTGTAGAGAAGGGCGATCAGTACAGTACCACGCAGAGGATCTCAGCGGTGTCAAATCGGTGCCCCGACCGTACCTCCATGTACTTCTTCACCACTTGTGTCCGCTCCAGCCGCTGTTCTTCGGGAATTCCTATGTCCTCCCAAATGTCTCGAAGGTTCACCATGGCGTTGTTGAGACTGGCGACCAACTCCGAAGCGAGCACCTCGCTACGCGCACAAGAAGCACACAAAGATCTCCCGTTTAGCCCTGCAAACTGTAGAGGAAAGTGCTGTGAGGAAGCACCGATTAAGGGGTGGCACGGTGCAAGAAGCGGTCATCGTTTGACCAGCATCGTCTCCAGCCAGCTTTGTTCTCCCTCGTGCTGATGTTGACAACCCAGCAGCAACAGGGGAATCCCTGAAGAAATTCAGATTCCATTTGCCACTGATGTCACCCACGACCGGGAAGTGAAATCGGACAACCTTGTACGAGTCATCGCCTCATGACTTAAGGGATTATCAGCCCCTCTCACAGGTCCAGACACACCCAGTGAAAAGTCTCCCGTATAGCATTGACTTGATAATGGGGCACCTATTGAGTTTCAAAGTGCGCAAATGTGGGTAGTGTGGCAAAGACACCATCACCACGCTCGTCCGTTCTTGTTTCTCTAGGTACTTGTATGCTTGCCCACCGCACCAGGTGCTCATTTAAGGCACAGGTCGATGTGAGCGAGACCCAGGGCTGGTTCAGAAACCACTCGCCACTATCAGTGGAATTCGGCCTAACAACGTAGTTGCAATAAACCCGCTAAGTGTCCACTCCGCAACACTCACACCCATCTATACCATCGCCACTCGCCACGAAGTGACGGTGACGTCCTCACCGCACCTGTGCCAGGCCAGGTGCACTTTGAGGCTATCACGTGAAGTGTTGAAGGCTCGCTGCTGGCAGGTTACGGGACAGACCCAGAAACTACCATGAGTTAGCCGACAGATGACCAGTAAGATGCACCACCAGCTGTACCCCCTACTGTGCCATCTATACACACACACACACACGGTGGTGATGTCACCACAGCGATTGTGCAAGGCGAGGTGCGTAGAGATTAACAGAGTAGACTGGCAGATGCATCACCTGTGTTCCCTAATGTACTAACATGTGTACATATTAAAAACACATATACATCACTGTACCGCAATTTATTAATCTACAACAACAAACACAATTCACGTCCAGTCAATAACACTGCCTGAAAAAAAAAATTGGCCGACATTTATGGGTCTTTCTTGTGCCAAAGCAGCAATATCAAATATGTAGTATTAATTTACAATTCAGGATCAATCCACTGCTGGATGAAAGGCTCCCCACGCCATGGAGGTAATGGGGGTGCATTGACCGGTACAGGTGCGTCTCGCCACCCTCCACCGTGACCGTGACGAGAACTATCAATCCACCGGGTTCGTAGCTTGGCAGCGAGGGAACTTTCGCGCCACCGTTCCACCCCATGTTAGTGTCACGTAATTTTACCAGGCAAGGTCCCGCTGAGATATTTAGTTATTTATGTAGATGCTACCCGGCCCACAAACGATGGCTCAACAAAGTGTCTCACGGCATAAACTATAGCGTGATTTTAGTTTCACCGTTGTAATGTGACAATTGCACCACCCCTAAACAAAATGACACACGTTACATTTCATGATATAGAAATAACACAAATACCAAAACGCCTCCGCCCCCCCCCCCACCTCACGCGAATCGTAGGTGGGCGCGGTGAAAAGAGAACGCAATCCAGGCGGAGAATTCAGGCGAACCCGAGGCATCGCGGCGTGTGACTAGGCCGTATCGCCGGCACCGCGCCCGAAAGTCACGATCGTCTCCCGAGTTCCCTCGTCGTGCTCCACATTCCGACGACGGCGAAGGGTTTCAAAGCACTCGTTTCTCACCTCTTTCTCGCCATGGTGGACAGCCGAACGAAGCCTCCCCACCAACTCCTCAAACTCAGCGGCTTTGCCTCGCGAGTAAAAAATTCAAATTGTGACGCCGTCGGCCACGGGCGATTCTGATTGGCGGCACCCCAACGGTCGCCTCGATAATCCTTCGCTTTCTATTGGTCGGCGGGGATTGGTTCAGGGGGAATTCTGAAAGCTCATTGGTCAGTGCAGGGAGGGAGGGAGGGGGGTTTGGTAAGAAGGGGCGGGGGAATTCTGCAAGCTCATTGGTCAATGCGGGGTGGGAGGGGGAGTTTGGTAAGAAGGGGCGGGGGAATCCTGCAAGCTCATTGGTCAATGCGGGGAGGGAGGGGGGGTTTGGGGCGGTAGCCGCAGTTCGCCTTAATAAATAATCATACGCGTCGTTATAATAATCTTGGAACATGGAGGCAGACTATGAATCTGCCTTTTGTGTAAGAAGGGGCAGATATATGTGTTACTTTGTATGTGGAGAGAGGCTAAACAGATTATACCGAAGGAGAAATATTTTGTTCGCGTAACCTCTTTTTGCCGTTGTTGGCGTGAGGCGTCTCCCGCAAAATAATTTTAAAAACCTCCTGGTGACGTCACGCGCTGGGCGCGAGGGAAGTTTTAAAAGTCCCGCCAAACATCTCGGCCAATGAGGCGGCGTCTTTCCGATGACGCGGCCCTGCTGAGTGACATATTAAAGCAATGACATCATAACGGTCTTAGAACAGTTAAAGGTTGTCTAAGTCCGGTAAAGTACTCAAAAAAATTGCCCTTAAGCGCCAAGTATTTTTTTTTTCAAAGTTACTTTCAACGAATACTTTTGCAAAAATATACAAGCCCCCCCAATAATAACTTTGGTTGTTACTGCACAACTGTACGTTAGTTACATATTAAACTTTTAGTTAATTTAGTAACTGATTTTAGAAATGTAATATAATTTTTATGCTGAGTGTCTGCTGCTGTGTCCTGTACAGCGCTTTGAGATCCTTGATGGAAAGCGGGTCATTTAGTTGCCAGGTCCACGCTGCGTACAGCCGTTTCAAGTCGGGCAAAACAAGTTTAGTCTATTAGTGTTTCTGCCTTGTGATGGGACTTTGTAGGGTGCACGTTGAGATGTATAAGGCCATGGGGTGACCAGTCAGGTCTGAGTTGGTGTGTAATACTGGTAGGAACCTCCTGGTTACACCAGCCCACAGGGGATTATTGTGTCCGTCCGTCCGTAGTGCAGGGAGGGGCTGGGTGGGGAGGGGCTGGGTGGGGAGGGTCGGGCTGGGTGGGGGGTGGGAGGGGAGGGGCTGGGTGGGGAGGGAGGGTGGGGAGGGGCTGGGTGGGGAGGGTGGGGCTGGGTGGGGAGGGTGGAGAGGGGCTGGGTGGGGGGTGGTGGGGCTGGGTGGGGGGGTGGGGCTGGGTGGGGAGGGGCTGGTCACCCCGTGGTGCCCTTATAAAACTCCACGTTTAACCTACTCACGCCGGCTTGTGCCCGCCCTCACAGTCGGCCATATTTGCGGAATACACCACGCCGCCGTTGACCCTGGCCATTGACCGAGCAACACACGTTACTACCAGCTCCCTCCGCAGGAATGTGTTAAGATAGTGCACCGATGAGGGGTTGACAGGTATGTAGTGACTAGGCTCTAAGAAAAGCTGTCTCGGGTGTGGACCAATCAACTTCAAGGACAGTGCATATCATTATCAGAGTTGTTTCTTTTTGTTTGCATTTTGACTGCTTGTGTTGTGGTTATTGCAAACATGATGCCTTGTATAAAGGTGTCAGTTTTTGTACCAGTTTAAAGGGTAAACACCTATTACTAAGGTATGTAGTGGTGTATTGTATAGCAGTGTAGTATATAGTAGAATATCTCAACCAATACTGTTTAGCCCGTATTCTTGTACAGCGGAATTGAGTTTTCAGGTCCACACGGCATACAGCCGTTTTAATACAGGCAACAACAAAAATGTGTTATTTGTGTTTCTCCCTTGTGATGGGACTTTGTAGGAAGAACGTTGAGATTTATAAGGGCACGGGGTGACCAATACGGTCTGAATTGGTCTGTAATAAGGTCTGAATTGGTGTGTAATAAGGGAGGGCACTGATAAAGGGTTGACAGGTATGTTAGTTATGTTACAGTAAACTGCTTTCTGACAAACTTAACTTGACAATTTTCCTCACACACAAAACTTTAACACAAAATACTCGACGGGCAAATCCGAGGTATCACTAAAAGCGAGGTAACGCGTTTCATTCAGTACCGTGACAAAGTAAACAAGTGCTAGTATTGTTCAAAAGAAAGACCGAACTTCCCAAAACGGTTTTCTAAATAAAGGTTTTGATAAAATAAAATATCGTTATTTAAAAAGCAGAACCAAATATGAATGCCACGCAGCCCCATCTCTTTGGTAGTTCATCATCTTCATTTTGATTCACTATCAATGGCTCTCCCAGGTATGAATCCTATTTATGCTCGGCAATTATGGATGCGATTTACCATGGAAGTACAATCCGGGGTTATGTTGACGTGTGCGTGTGGAATTTCACACCGATATATTTACACCATTGTACCCTTCCTACAGGTAAAACATCTCACTTGATCAAGGTGCGTGCGCCAAACTTGTTATGGGTAATGTCACACAATTCACAGCTCATTGTTGACAAAAATTATGAAGGCCCTATCCACGCAGTTGTCGATAACAGGCCACTTGCTTGACCACACGTGACCACGCTGGGACGTTGCCGTTCGATTCACAACGCTCGATAATGTTATCTGTGCCTTGGAATCAAACCGTGCTAACCACCGCGCGACATTCATATTCACAATGCCCGGGAACGGCTCACACTGCAAGTTGGCAAGACAAGCGGCTAACAGCAATGGGATTTGCGCGAAGGTTCGAGTGTCACGTTTACACATCCCGTTTTGGCAGGCGCGCGGTAGGTTTTCTCCAGTGCTCCGGGTTCCTCCCGTGCGAAGGCAAACAACTTTGGCAAAAAAACCACTAACCCAAATGCAGGTCCCTCTTGAAAAAAGTCTTGTAACCAAGCAAGGGGTTTGGCTGGGTTAAGGGATCATTTCGTTCACCAGACACGGAGGAAGGCAACGCACGCAGCTTTACTAATGTTTTTTTTAATAAAGTTTGTACAAAATTTCACACAGTCAAGTACTGGCCAGGGAATACGTACAATGGAAATATCTAAGGGGGTGGAGGGTCTTATTAAAAAAACCATTATAGAAATATAAATAAAAACTAAACAAGACAGGGTATTTGCATAGCATGTTGCCTATGGTGTGAACATATTTTTTTACACCTTTATCCAGGCAAGGTCACACCCAATTACCTCTATTACGGAGGAGACACTGGACACAGAAACTGATCAGCCCGAATCAATCCACTGGGGGATGACGACCACCCTAAGCCGTCAAAATCTCACGTGGTCTCGCTATCCAATAATCCATTTAGTTCCTTCCACGAGCCTACTCCATCGCTCCATCTTGGCAGCAGTTGACGCTACCACCGGCCATCATTCGTCTGAGTGACGCGTCCTGCCCAAGCCACTTACCTTTATTAAGTCAGAATGACACTGTAGCTACGCTACAACACTTTCGTACTTAAATAAATTGTGGAATTAATTTTTTAAATGAGCTACGACACCAGCACAGTATGCCATTCTTTTTCCAACAATGATGGGTTTCTCTTGATCGACGTCCACATTACAGCGGACGACAAATTCCCTGCAGAAATTTTCCCGGACGGCAGTGATAATCCAATGGTCAACTCCAAATGTCAAACTGATGACGGACGCTTGTGTTGCGCCCGAAACGTCGTGATTTATTTTATTTTAATTTTATACCTACGTGACTTTACCGAGAGAACCAAAGAGTATGGTGCGCCGTGCGGTGCGTGTACCGAATGCGTTTGGTGCGCTGTGTACTTCATGTGCCGGGCGACCCGTATACAACATGCGTGCCCTCTGGATGCAACGTGTCGCACGCTATGCAGTCCGATTTGTGCAATGTAGAGTTCTCCAATTTGTATTTACATTTGGGTCACAATAACACGAGCTTGTGCTGGTGGGCCACTTTCTATCAGTCACCGTGACATGACCATCTCTGCTAAGCTCTACTGCCTGTCCTCCAGGTCTCTCATCTCTCCTTTTTGTGTTCATCTTAACTTTTCATCTTAACTTTCATCTCACTCGTATTTCTCTTGTCTACAGCTCTCTCTCTCTCTCGTTCAGTTGTTGTTCATCTCACTAATCTGTACTGCTCGTCCAGAGCACTCATCTCTGTTTCTCTTTCAGCTCACTAATCTGTTCTGATCGTTTTGTGTCCACGGGCCATAGTTTGGCAGGCAAATCAAAGAGCATTCACAGTCCACATCTGGCCCATAGGTAGCTAGTTGAAGAGACATAGCAGTTGGCAGTGCCCTATGTATGCGACAGTGAACTCTCCACTATACGGGCTGCCGTTTAACCGAACTTGCAAAGATAATCTTTACACACGCGCGCGCTGGGTGCTACTGGCTGCTCCTGGTTGCTCCTCACCCGTTGCGGCTCAGTGACTTGGTGCCGACCGTGACAGCGCACATGTCCAGAAGCATGCCGGTTACTTTAACCAGCGTAAAAAACAACACGAAACATTCTACACGTATTCACCACCATTCTACATGGGTAAGCAACAAACACGTTTTAATCGCCTGACTTGTGTATACTTTGCATTGTGTGGTATTATTTATCTGGGCCACCCCTCTCCCCAATTACCCTGGATAATCCTGCACTGCACGATTCTGTGCACTGCACACGCATCGTGTGTTGCACGTATGCCGAAATTATTTCGCACCGCACGTAGCCAACCGTGTTAGTCGGAGGTGTGGGGGAGGAGCACGACAACAAACTGTGTAATAAACACGCCCTGTGAGGTTCACCACCTGTGCTCTCTGTAACCTATCTTCGGGACGTTACGTCTTGCACTGCGATACCTGCGTACCCGCACGCGCTCTGCAGAACGAACGCGCGTACCGCCCGCCCGCTCAATCCACGCGTACCGCGTCCCGCATCGCTACGGCCCCCCCCCCGCCACCCACCCGCCGGTGGCGACGGCTCAGGGCGTGAACGCGCCGCACGCAAGCAGCAGGTTGCGGCGCGTGAAGTGCAGGTGCGCCACGGGCGTGCTCTTGGTGAAGTGCGCGCCCAGCGTCAGGTCGGCCGCGTGCTCCGCGGGCGGCGAGTGCAGCGACGCCGACACGAAGTCGTCGGGGTCCAGCTCGTCGACAGGCCCGCGTCACGTCCCACAGGCGCACGCAGCAGTCCGCTCCGCCTGTGCGCGACCGCGACCGCAAAAAAAAGGTCACAATGACGACAGCCACGGTCAGATCTTTATTTACACTGGAGGAATCCGACGGGCTATACAAGCTATTTTTCATAGATGTTCAGTCGGCACACGGGGTCAGAGAGGAAGTGATGGACTTGCTCCTCTCATCCATTGCGTGCGATTGTTCTTCACTGTCTCCTACCCCACCGGCACCAACCAGCGTGGTGATGCGTGGTCCACTGGCATACAAAGCCCTCATCCAGCAGTAGAATGACAAAAGGGGATCGACATGTTCGTGTCCAGATTAGAATTTGGAAGGAACACAGGTGGATAAGAGCCCAAGATGTACAGATAGCATTATACAGGGATGAGAACTGAGATCAGCAATGTCAGTGAAGGCCAAATTTCTACAATGACAAACTGCACTCACTGTACATGCGACCTCCAGCTGGGTTATATTCAATTACTCCTTTTATCTGTTCAATTACTCGACCGGTCGGATGACAGGAAAACTGTTTGAAAACTATCGCCTCTGTTCCCACGTGTGGCTGCTAGGTGAGAGGTGACGGGGGCGCTTGGTGACATTGCCACAGATGAGCCACAACACCTCGCTGATCTCGTCAAGGAGCATAAACCATCATCACGCGAACTCCGCTCATCCTCGCAGCAGCAGCAGCGGATTTTGGCTAGCCATCAAACAAAGACGGTGGTCACCGCAACATCGCACGCTTTCAGATTCGCTTCTGCGGCCTTCCTTCCGATATTAGGAAGCCACTGGAGCTATTTCACTTTTAAATTTAGATTGAAAACTTTTCCTTAGAACTGCTTTTTGTGTTTAGTTTGTTATCCTTTCCCCGCACCTCCGATTAGCAAGGTTGGCTATGTCCGGTGCTATTAGAAGTCCAACATGCACAGGTACATCATAAACCATGGCACGCCAGGCAGAGCTTTTAGGAGTTTTTCAGCCTCCAGAGGCACCATGTCGAGGTGGCTGCCAACCTTAAAGGGGCCCGAGTAATTGACCCCCAAAAAGTCTAATAAAATGTTGAGTTTATTAATCGACTAATCATTCGAGCAATAACGAGAACCCAGAATAGCTTTCTGTGGTTGACTCCGAACGTGGCCATTGAACCAACTGCTTCAATTAGCACGGTTGGCCATGTACGGTGCAAAAGAAGTAAAAAATACACGCATACAATGCACAAGAGGGTACTGCCACTCACCTGAAGCGAGCACCTCCCCGTCGCGGCTGAACTTCAGCGTGTACACGGTGTCCGTGTGACCCTAACAACACACACGCACAGGACGCTCCTTATAGCAAACGCGCAACTGTTTGGGAACACCGACCTGAAAGGCAAAGACGAAACAGAGAAGATAGATCACGCAGATTCGTACTTTCCGGAGCAACTTTTGGGCGTGCGCTTATCCTTGTTAAGTATTTAATGAGCGATATTACCATTACCTCCCGGAGCTGCACAAAATGATGTCACTTGGCGCACGATGTGTGACGTCGTGAGATGATGTCACGCAAACGTCAGGGGGAAGTGAGGCACACGCATGGCGGGTGACCTCATTGCCTCGGCCGGGAATACTTATAGATTTAGCACTAGTTTTTTTTTTATCACCAAGTTTTCATCAAACCTCTGATCAATTTGTCCCAATTTCTCCAGGGTATTAGCAACACAAATTTTGAACTAAATTTAACTTCGGATCATCTTGAAAGAGTTATTGTGAGCCCGTGTTACAGACGAAGAAAATAATGAAAGTGCGCAAAGAAGCATGGAGAGATGTGTGCTTGGAATTACACCGAGAGACAAAGACGGGAACACATGGATTTCAGAACATACGTAGAACAAGGATATAATGGGAAAAGTTTATGGCTACAGTACTAAGAACACATTCCTGCGGAGGGAGCTGGTAGGAACGTTGGGTTGCTCGGTCAACGGGCAGGGTCAATGGCGGCGTGGTGTATTCCGCAAATATGGCCGACTGTGAGGGCGGGCACAAGCCGGCGTGAGTAGGTGAAACGTTGAGTTTTATAAGGGCACCACGGGGTGACCAGCCCCTCCCCACCCAGCCCCACCCCCCACCCTCCCCACCCAGCCCCTCCCCACCTTCCCCTCCCCACCCAGCCCCTCCCCACCCAGCCCCTCTCCACCCAGCCCCACCCCTCCCATTTTTGGATGCACGACGGACGGACACAATAATCCCCTGTGGGCTGGTGGAACCAGGGGGTTCCTACCAGTAAAAGTGTATTTGGGGAGATCACATCACGAGAAGCCGGCGGATGATGGGAGGGAAGGCGCCCGAGACAACAAATCACTGGGGAGATGCGACGACGGATATCAGCTCATGTGATGGAGCTCGGGGGCGGCTTGTTACATCATAGGATCATAACAGCCGGAGACACTTTGGGGAAGCCGTCACCCAGCGGTAGATTCTTCGTGGCTGATAAATGGTATTCACGGATGGGTGAGCTAATGGGATTCGCGAACGCTAAATCACTGCGGGTAAGAGGAACGCGACGGGAGGATGAAAGTGAACGCGCTGGGGAACCTTGAGCTCGGCAATGGGGAGTCCATGCGCGATGTCCCACAGCAACACTCGGCTGTCGGCGCCACCTGACGCCAGGAATCGCCCGTTTGGCGAAAATGCCACACAGTGGACGGAGCCCTGAGGCACACACGGCAACACCATCGTCGACATCGTCGTCAGCATCGTTGTCATCATGATCATCCCGCACACCATCGGCACGATCGTCACCGTCGTCGTTATTGCAATTATAGTTGAAATCATCACAGGCATAATCGCCATAACGGTGACAATCACCAGCACTATAAACATCACCATCATCACAAACATCAGCATGGTTCGCTCGTGCGGTGGGAAAAAAGTTCAAACATACAAACATCAACATTATCAATGATATGTGTACATCATCAGTTTTCATTGCGATTCAGAATTGAAAAAAAAACTCAAGTAACTTTATCGGTATCGAGGCTCCCACAAGGCCGTGCGTAAAAGGGCGTGTGGCATTGTTTGGTGCCAGCTATCGTAGAGTGCGGTTGTGTCGCTACGGTTCTCTGCGGTGACGTCTTTAAAAAACAACGGCACTACTACGCCTCCCTAAATAAAATGAACGCAGAGCCGCTCCCACGTTCCGCGATTCGGCGGTGAACGGGAACCCCCTCTCAGAAATCGTCTCGCGACGGCAAAAGGATCAAACTCTCTCGCGCGCGCGCTGCACCTTGTGTCCCGTGAGTGTGCGCACGCAGGCCCCGTTCAGGACGTCCCACACGCGCACCGAGCGGTCCGCCGAGCCCGTGGCCACGTAGTTGGAGTTGGGGTGGAAGCAGGCGCACGTGACGTCGCTGAGGTGGCCCGCGAACACGCGCACCGCCTGGTGGTGGTCCATCACCCACAGCCTGCGCCGGCGGTCACATCGCCAACAGGAGGGCACGACGAGCAACGGCGTCAGCGGTGTCGCCGGCTTCACCACCCCACAACTCCCCCCTGAGCATACCCTGGAACTTGTTGCTGCTGCTGCTGCCCTGGTGACATTTGTTCCTGGGGATTGTTGTTGGTGGATCCTGGTCACTTCCTGACAGGGGCAGTGCTGTGTTGTTGTTTTCCCTCCTCCCCCATGTTTCCCTCTCCTGTCCTGACCCCACTTCCCCCCTTTTAGACCATAATATATTTATTTCTCATTTTGTAATGCATCTCTAAACATATGACTGGATCACCATCACCACTACAACCTTGATCACTATCAGTCTTGTCAATGTCACAAACATAACTATAACCACCTCTATGTACATATGTTGAACTTCTTTCGCACAGTACGTAGAGAACCGCCATCATCGGGGGTGCTGGTGAGGAACTAAACAAAAAAAGTAGTCTCAAATAAAATCGTATTCAATCTAGACGATGATTTAAGAGTGCACAGCTCCAGTGGCTTCCTAATATCGGAAGAGCGTTCCAGACGGCCGCAGAAGCGCACCTACACCACAACCATAAACAACACCGCCAAAAAGGTTTCCAACGCTGCAAAATCAATAACGCCACCATCACCAGCACATGCTAGCAGTCTCGACCGATCACGGTGGCTGGCAGACGTTAGCCGTACCGTGCGGTGCGGTCATGCCCGGCCGACACGAAGTAGTGTCCGTGCGGGGAGAAGGAGGCGTGCCAGACAGGCCAGATGTGTCCCCGGTACGCTACAAGACACGTGAAAGTGTGGAGCGACCACACGCGCACCGTGCCGTCTTCGGAGGAGGACAACAGCCATGCCCTGCACGCACACACATACCATGCTGATGTTTACACAGTTTAACACGTAGGTTTTCGCGACCAATATCATCCATAATACAGGTTTCTTTTTGGGGGGGGGGTAGATTGCATACACATGTACACATACAAACACACACACACACAAGCATAGAAAAAACAGATGTACAGACACACAGACATACACTGACACAGACCAACACAGAGACACATGCACATTCAGACAACAACAATAATCGCCATTTGCCACGGAGTGGCGGTAACAGACACACACACCGGGCACACAGGTAAAGATGCACACACAGCCACAGAGAAACAGCACAGCTCCGAGGCTCGATGTATCCGACACTGGCCATTGTGAGCCGGCGGTGCGTTTGACGTCTGGGGGGGGTCGTGAGCGAGTGAGCGAGTGAGCGAGTGAGCGAGTGAGCGCGTGAGCGCGTGAGCGAGTGAGCGCGTGAGCGAGTGAGCGCGTGAGCGCGTGAGCGAGTGAGCGAGTGAGCGCGTGAGCGTGCCGCACCTCTCGGGGCTGAAGCTGGTGGAGAAGACGGGTCCCCCGTGGCCGAGCAGCAGCTTCGAGTCGCTCGTCGTGCGATCGTCCATGATCCGCTCCATCACGTCGTCTGCCTCCTTGTCGATGAGGACCAATTCTGCGAGATGCACGCACACGCACTAAGTGGCGGTGATGTCACCACGGCGCTTGTGCAGGGTAGGAGCACGTTCAGGCAACGTGAAGTGTCAAACGCCCGCTGGCATGAGGTCATGGGGCAGACTCAGCAGGTGCCATGGGTCGACTGACTGAGATGATTGGCCGATTCACCAGCTGTGCACCCTACTGTGCCAACAAACGCACACACACACAGTCACACGTATATACAAAGAACCCCCCGTATAGCCTTAACAGACTGTTGGGTTGGGCAGGTGCTGTGCCTGGCCACCTTTGTCTTCCCAATGCTGATGAAAGCCCACTGCATCAGGTGTTCAGATAATTGTCACTGGTATTGGGTGTGAACGGGAATCGATCGCGGGTCACCGGGTTCGTAGCGCAGCACGCCAACCACTACACAACCACTACACGCACACAAAGATCTCTCATATAGCCCTAAGCAGACCCTTGGGGCAAGTGTTTTTAGCAATCACCCATGAAGACCGGCATGGCACATCAACAAAAAAAACCCCGTATAGCCTTACCAGACTGTAGGGGAAAGTGCTGTTAGCGAGCACCTATAAAGGCCGGCACGTTATACGAGGGGGTGGGTGGCCAGCACCACGCCCGGCCGCCTTTGTCTCCCCAGTGGCGATGTTTGCACACCGCACAAGGTACTTATTTGAGGCCGAGTCCACCTAGGGGAGACCCAGGACCGGTTCAGATATTCGTCACCAATGTTGGCCGTGAGCGGGAATCGAACTCCGGTCGCCGGGTTCGTAGCGCTGACCGTTGCACCGCCGCTCCCCACACACGACGCACCAACACCGACACACGCGTGTGTTACCGCTGGATGGTTTGATGCAGCGCAGCTTCTTCGGCGTGAGGCTCCACACCCGCACGGTGGAGTCGGAAAAGCCGGCAGCGACGAGGCTCGAGTCATCAGAAATGTCGCAGCAGGACAGGCCCTGGAGGAGCGGCAACGAAGTGCGGCCCCAGTGACGCTCACTCGTGCACACGATTGGCAAACCGGTAGCGTACACGACCGTAAAAAAAAAAAACACTCGGATGTGCGAGTGAACTTTATTGCAAATGCATCGGATTCCTCCGGGACGAATAAAGATTGTGATATTTTGTTTAAGCAGGTGAGAACTCACGAGGCCAGGAGAGTCTCCGTGACCTGGGGCATTGGCGTGGGGGGGAGGGGGGTCAGGATTACCACCCCAATTTTCAGTAGGTCATTTTCAAATATAGTGGCCCACTCTTGCGCGAGTGACGTGATGCTATCTTTAACAATCGCCGTTTTTAAAACGGCAATCACAACCGCATCAATCAGGGCGGCCGCTGAATTCAAACGGAGAGCCTCCACCAGGGGCGATGGAGGCGCTACTGCCGGGCCAAGTCACCACCTTAATCCGGCATGGGCGATGGAGGCGCTACTGCCGGGCGGTGGCCGCGTAGCTCAGGGGTAAGAGGAGACTGAGCCAGCGCTGATGAAATCCCGGGGTTTCTGATGCGTATCGAATCTACCTAAATGTAACGATAGCATTTCATTTGCATACAAATCCATGTAAACCACCAAATAACCCATTCTTAAGTTCACGAGGCTGTGTAGACATGAATGAGCGTAACAATCCTCCCGCATTCTCATTGATGACGAGCAGACTTATTAACATTTTCGTCGGTAATTATCGCCAGAACACCCTGCACCGTTTACGAGCTATAGCTCTGTGAGCTTTAACAACAAATGTTGTTAAAGCTCTTTCAAATGAGAGAAGGTTGCAGTATTTTTGGAATAAAAATTAACCTAGTAATGAAAAGCAGCAAACCAATGAGCCTTTATAAGAAACCATTTAATCGACACATTATCTGCTATGATAGAGCAAAATCATTGACATTGACAAATAAAATGGAACCAAATAGTAAAGCGTCCACACAGGTGGGCAGATGCAAGCCGCGGAATTACACCGAGACAGAAAGAGGAACACACGGATTAGACGACAAACGCAAAACTGCTCACAGAATATTGACTCTGAAGTATTGGGCTGCGGCAGCATACGTCGCGAGAACCACTCCCTGATGGTCGGTGGACGAGATGAACGCCAGAGTGGCGGCCAGAGGAGGGAACCCGCCACAGAGAGGACATCAAGTACGAAGATGCGGCGGTGAAATCAGCCGTTGTGCAAGGAGGCGAGACGGATTGTTACGTGTGTGTGTATGTTGTGTGTGTGTATGTTGTGTGTGTGTATGTTGTAGGTGTGTATGTTGTGTGTGTGTGTATGTTGTGTGTGTGTGTATGTATGTTGTGTGTGTGTGTATGTTGTATGTGTGTGTATGTTGTAGGTGTGTGTGTGTATGTTGTAGGTGTGTGTGTGTATGTTGTGTGTGTGTATGTTGTGTGTGTGTATGTTGTGTGTGTATGTTGTGTGTGTATGTTGTGTGTGTGTATGTTATGTGTGTGTGTATGTTGTGTGTGTATGTTGAACATCTTTCGCACCGCACGCAGCCAATCGTGCTAATCAGAGCAAGTTGCGAGGGAAGGACGACGAAACCAAACGCGTAGCTGGATGGTGAGAGATCGCGACAGGCTTGGGAAGGCCTCCATCGACAATGGCCGAGACTGACACAACCCACCTGGTAGGCGTTGAGGAAGGTGTAGAGGCAGATGGAGGGCAGGCAGTCAGGGCCCAGGCGTACCCGCTTCATGCTCTCCTTGAGAGCGATCACCTTGTCCAGCTTGTCCGAGTCCTTCAGCTCGGGCAACGGAATCCTTGAGGTGGTCGCGGGGAGGGAGAGACAAGGGATATGAAAGACGTGCATCGTGATTACGTCATCACCATCATCCTCACTTTGCTTTTTGTGTGTTAGTTTGTTGTCCTTCCCCCGCACCTCCGATTAGCACGGTTGGCTACGTAAGGTGCAATAGAAGTTCAACATGCATACATAATTACTGTAAAAATTATCGTCATTCTTGTCGTAACAATCACCACTATTGTCATCGCAGCCACATTCACAACCATCGTGTGTGTACTGTGCGTACTGTCTGTACTGTGTGTGTGTACTGTGCGTACTGTCTGTACTATGTGTGTGTACTGTGCGTAATGTCTGTACTGTGTGTACTGTGCGTACTGTATGTGTGTACTGTGCGTACTGTCTGTACTATGTGTGTGTACTGTGCGTACTGTGTGTGTACTGTGCGTACTGTCTGTACTGTGTGTGTATGTACTGTCTGTACTGTGTGCTCTACTTGGCAGGCAGCTGTCTCCTTGTGCGGTTTCGCTCGGTCCCTTTCTTGGAACGCATCTACTACTACCACCACCGCCGCCACGTAGAGCGAGGGAAACCTGTACTCCGGAAGCCGCCCACTGGCTCGCCAGCGTCGACATCGCCACGTAAGCGTCGCCCATCAACTCCCTGCCACTTGGAAGTCTTCGAAACACTCACCGAGTGATGGGGGGGGCATTCGGGTCCTGTTTTTTGCTCTTCCCGGCCGTCGCTTCCTTCTTCGACTTCTTCTTCTTGGGCCGCCCCTCTTCACCCTCCCCTGCCCCCTCCTCATCCTCGTCGTCCGGAGGGACTTCTAGCTCCGGCTCCTTGAGCAGCCCGTAGTAAACCTGCGAGCGCGGACACGGCATCGCCCCCGGTCACCGTGACCGCACTCCTGAACCGTCTGCGGCAGGGGTAAGGGGGGGGGGCGACTGGGGGTCTCTTGGGATGGATAGGGCCCACGGCTTCATTTTGGACGGCTCGTGACCACGCGAGGGGGACGTGGGTGGGCCTTGGTGATGTCGTCAGCGGCAAAAGGCGTTGTCACACTGGGTGTGGCCGCCATGGTGGCGAGATGTTAACTACTTCGCCTGGTATGCAGGAGGTCGTGGGTTCGATCCCGACCCCGATGCCTGCTGTATATTTGGAGTTTGCATGTCTCTCTCTCTCCCTGTGGTCGTGTGGGTTTTTCTCCGGGTCCTCTGATTTTAGTATTTTGCTGCTATGAATTTGACCGTGATAAGCCTCTTTTTTGAGCCATCAATCGTGGCCAGGTAGCTTCCGAAAAAGAGCTACAGAGCTCGGTGGGCCTTACCTGGTAAAATTAAACAAATTGTTTAGTTTATAGTTAAGTTTAGGGGGGGGGGGGTTTCCTGCCTTTAGGTGGCAGGATTTTGAAATAAAGAATTTTCATCAGGGCTCGAGTAATACTATTACTTCCTATTCTTATTAGGTGGGGGGGGGGGGGGGGAATGTCTTGAAACGCATCAGCCGAGCGTTATTATAATCGGCTAAACGGTCCTTGAGGATGTGACGTGGCCCTAAACGGTGCCAGGTGGCCGTCGTGGTGCAAGCACCTTGGACTTGTTGGCGTGACGCGGCGCCTCGCCCCCCATGGCGCCCGAGGTGAGCGCCACCTGCGCGGCGGTGCGGGGCGCGCCGTCGTACACGTCCACGTACACGTGCTCCTGCGTGATGAGCGATGCTCGCGACGTGGGGCGCTCCTGCGAACCAGAGGCAGCAACTGTTAGCAACCATAACCCGAAAGCTACCACGTCCGCGAGATGCCCTCACAAACGCACAGCCACGACAAGCCGACGCAAAGCCACACACCAGCAACCAGACGTGGAGTAACAGCCAAAACCATTGTGCCACGCACAACTGTCGCATGCCCGACCGCCTTTGTCTCCCTAGCGGCAATGCACAAGGTACTCATTTGAGGCTGAGTCGACCTATGGGACGCCCAGGACCGGTTCAGATAATCGTCATTAGTGTTAACCGTGAGCGGGAATCGAACTCGAGTCGTAGGGTTCGTAGCACGGCACGCTAACCACTGCGCCACATATCCACGCAGCAACAACAACAACTGCCGTTCGCCACTATGTGACGGTGACGTCACCACGGCGCCTGTGCCAGGCGATGCGCACGCACACAGACACACCTGCAGGTGTCTGCGCAGGCCGGCATAGCTGTCGCGAGCCATGCGAACCACGAACTTGCCGGTGCGGAACGAGGAGAGCAGCGCCGAGCTGGTGTCCCCACGCAGCAAGTGCTGCCTCTTCGACAGTCCGGACAGCACCCTGTGCAGTGCAGGGAGGCCGCATGGTGAAGGTGGAGCGGTGCGGTGCAGTGCGGCCTTGTGCTGTGCAGTTTGGTCATGTACGGTGTGCGTGGCCAGTGTAAAGCAGTGTGGTGCGGGTGAGCGTCGTTGCGCAATGCAGTGTGGTGCTGCATAGTGTATGGTAGTGCAATGCGGTGTATTGTAGTGCAGTGTGGTGATGCATGATACAGCGCAGTGCTAACGTGATGTAGTGAAGAGCAGTGATGTATGCTGCAAGTGACCATGGTGTGTGCTGTGCAATATGTTGCAACGGGTGCAGCACAGTGCTAACTAATGATGCAGTGGAGTTCAGCTCGGATTAATGGTGCAGTGAAGTACAGCTGGCATAGTGCCATGCAGCATGGTGCAGCACAAATACAATGCATTCAATGCAATGCCGAGCGAATGGCAGGTGCAGTTCAATGCGGGTGGTGCAGTTCAGTGCAGGCGAGCAGTGCAGAGAAATTCAGTGCGTTGTCAGCGGCGCAGTTCAGTGCAGGAGAGCGGTGCAGTGTTGTGCAGTGTAGTGCAGCGCGGCTGCCGGGGCAGTGCGATGCGGGACGACGCGTTGCCTCGAGTGCGGTGCTGTTGAGTGCAGTAGCTCAGTGCAATGCGACTGGGCTTGTATCGTGTGCGGTGCTGTTGAGTGCAGTCGTGCGGTGCAATACGACTGAGTGTGTATTGTGCGCGCAGCTGTTCAAGTTGCTGGCGCAGTGCAACGCGGTGAAGTTAGTTTAGCGCAGGTGGGCGTTGCCATGCCGGCGGCAGTGCGGTGGTGCCGTGCCGGCGATGCTCACCTCAGGTCGTCCTGGTAGCAGGGCTCCTGGTCGCCGTTGAAGAGGGTGAAGAATGCCTTGGCCTCGGCCTCATGCTCGTGATAAACGAGCTCCAGGTACATGTGCAGGAAGAGCGGGTACAGGAGGCCCGCCAGCTCCGCTTTGTGACAGTCCAGGCTCGACTCCACAAAACGCTTCATCTCTGCTCCCCCGGGCGGGGTGGGGGGATCAAGCGAAGAGCCAGAGAAGCACGTTGAAGGAGCGAGGATGCACGTTCGAGGTGCAAGGGGCAACACGCATGATATCCATGGATTATGGAAGCATGTGCTTGTCTTCAGGAGTATTTAATGAGCGGTAGGGAAGCTGATTGGTAGCTGTCAAAGCACAATTTCACATGATATTTGCAAATACTTTTTGCACTGGTTTGTGTCTCCACGTTTTGGGCAAATATTCAACCAATTTAGCTAGTTTTCAATCAGGTAAGTCCCGAATAGCAACACAACCTTTAACTACTTTGGTTCATATTAGATCATCTTCAGGAGTTATAATGCCACCAAGTTACAGACGGGACAAAGCTAAAGCATAAATGCTAGATTGGAAAGCAATGCGTGTGGAATGATTCTCCCATTCAAGAGTAAAATTAGAGGAAAGAGGCAGAAGAGTGTGGGGGAGGGAAGGAGATTAGAGATAAATGAGAGGGGAGAGGTAGGACATCATTGGGAAGGGAATGGGGTTCAGGAGAGACGTAGAAGAATGCATCGAGTCGAGCACAGTGAGATAACAGGGAGGAAGTCGACGAGCAGGTGGAGGGCAGGAGAGATGAGAGATGAGAGGGGAGAGATGAGAGGGGAGAGATGAGAGGGGAGAGATGAGAGGGGAGAGATGAGAGGGGAGAGATGAGAGGGGAGAGATGAGAGGGGAGAGATGAGAGATGAGAGGGGAGAGATGAGAGGGGAGAGATGAGAGATGAGAGGGGAGAGATGAAAGGGGAGAGATGAGAGATGAGAGGGAGGCAAGGGTGCACCCATGGGGGATATCAAAGACGGTGAGAGTGTGATCTTGAAATCTATGCAGGAGTACCAGAATGCGAGTGCAACAGAGGAGAACTACACTCTCTCGTGGGCGGCAGGGGTAACCGTACCGGTGTAGTCGTCGTGGTAACGTGCCGCCTCGCCCGCCTGCTTGTACGCCGACAGGAGCGAGCTGACGTCCGCCGACGTGGCCCTGCTGCTGCTGCTGCCCGCGGCCCCTGCGTCTTTGGAGGCTGCGGCGGAGGCAGTCCCCCCGGGGGTCACGAGGCCAGGGTCGCTCGCGACGCACGCCTCGCGACGCAACGTCTCCACCGAGTCGTGAAGGCCACTCCTCTGCAGGAACTCCAGCACCGCCGCAAGGGCCTTGCGGTCCAGCACGGAGGAGGAAGATGACGACGGTGGTGGTGGTGGCGCTGGTGGGACGACACCACCACCACCACTGCTACCACCGCCTCCTTCGCCCTAGGCAAAGACAAAGATCCCCGCGGCATGTTGCTTTATGCTGTAGACTGAACTGCTTGTGTAAACACATGCATATATAAGATAAAATGTGATTCCGGCGGCTACAAATGCATAAAATGTCCTATTATCTTAAAATAAAGACTCAACACATTCATCAAGAATGATGGCTTTATAACAAAAATATATAAGCCACGTTTTGGCCAAAGAACCTTCTTCATAGGACATAGAGAGGCCAAACAGATAGAGTGGATGAGTTGGCGACTGCACTATCCACCATAGGCCCTGCTTTATTCACACATGCCTGTCGGGCATTTATCCACGAAGTACAGTGTTACGATTTCCCATGCTACAATTGCGACACTGAACATTGGCCTAATATTATGTACGTGGTATCTATACGCGAATATGTTTGGTCTTCACAGGATCAGCTGGCTGTATATGTCATAGTCTGGACGCCTTTTGTTGATCGGTTAAGGGTTCGATCATTCCACCCCGTGTGGATATTTCCGTCCGTCAATTTCATCGCAGTCCACGTTCCTGATCCAAGTCACAGCAGGCAATATGCTAATTAATTAACAATATGCAATCAACTTTCATCTTGAGGCACTTTGGCACGTTGACTGTCACTCGGTTTCTCTGGATGCCTTTAAAAACAGACTGTAGGGGCAAGTGCTGTTAGCCAGCACCTATGAAGGCCGGAACGGTACACGAGGGGGTGGGTGGCCAGCACCACGCCCGACCGCCTTTGCCTCCCCCAGCGGCGATGTTTACACACCGCACCAGGTTCTCATTTGAGGCCGAGTCGACCTAAAAGAGGCCCAGGTACCGGTTCAGATAATCGTCGCCGGTGTTGGCCGTGAGCGGGAATCGAACCCGGGTGGCCAGGTTCGTAGCACGCTAACCGCCACACCACCGCTCCCCACATACAGCACAGACACACACGGGCACACACACAGACACACACACACTCAGAGACACTCACAGATAAACTCAGAGAGAAACACAGACACACACACACACTCAGAGACACTCACAGACAGAAACACACACACAGACACACACACACAGAGACACTCACAAAGACATACACAGCCACACACACACAGACACACACACAGCGAGGCACACACACAGACACACACACAGCCACACACACACAGAGACACACACACAGCCACACACACACACAGACACACACACAGCCACACACACACACAGACACACACACAGCCACACACACAGAGAGACACACACACACAGCCACACACACAGACACACACACAGCCACACACACAGACACACACACAGACACACACACAGAGACACACACACACACAGACAGACACACACACAGAGACACACACACACAGACACACACACACAGCCACACACACAGACACACACACAGACACACACACAGAGCCACACACACAGAGAGACACACACACACACAGACAGACACACACACAGACAGACACACACACAGAGACACACACACACAGACACACACACAGCCACACACACAGAGAGACACACACACACAGCCACACACACACAGAGACACACACACAGACACACACACAGCCACACACACAGAGACACACACACAGCCACACACACACAGAGACACACACACAGCCACACACACACACAGAGAGACACACACACAGACACACACACACACACGGACATAGAGAGAACCACGAGGGGCAGGTTTGGGGGCGACAGGTTTGGGGGGCTGCAGGTTTGGGGTGGGGGCTGCAGGTTTGGGGTGGGAGGCTGCAGGTTTGGGGGCTGCAGGTTTGGGGTGGGAGGCTGCAGGTTTGGGGGGCTGCAGGTTTGGGGTGGGGGCTGCAGGTTTGGGGGTGGGGGGCTGCAGGTTTGGGGGGCTGCAGGTTTGGGGTGGGGGCTGCAGGTTTGGGGTGGGGGCTGCAGGTTTGGGGGTGGGGGGCTGCAGGTTTGGGGGGCTGCAGGTTTGGGGGGCGGCGTCTGTCCAGCAGTGGAGCGAGCGCGGCCGCGGGTCGCGAAAGCGGTCACAACACTCGGGCCTACCTCGGAGGCGGCGCCCGAGTCTTTCCTGGACGCTTCGGCCGCCTCCGCCGCAGTCTCCTCCTCCTTCTCCGCGTCTCCCGTCTCCATCGCCACCTTCGCGCTGCCGTTGCTGCCGCCGCCACTGTTGTTGTTGTTGCCGCCGCCGTTGTTGTTGTTGTTGTTTTCCGTCAAGTCTCCGCGCTGCTGCTGCTGCTCTATCGGAGCCGCCATCGCGACCCGAGACTCTGGATGGAGAACCGAGGGAACCGGATCCCCCGCCGTGTGTCAAACGGAGGAACCGGATCCCATACAAACGAACAGCGAACCCCGGGTCCACGTGCTGTGTGGTAGCAGTAGCAGCAACACGTGCTGTGTGGTAGCAGCAGCAGCAGCAGCAACAGTAGCAGTAGCAACACGTGCTGTGTAGTAGCAGTAGCAGCAGCAACAGTAGCAGTAGCAGCAACACGTGCTGTGTAGCAGCAGCAGCAGCAGCAACGCGCGCTGTGTGGTAGCAGCAGCAGCAACAGTAGCAGTAGCAACACGTGCTGTGTGGTAGCAGCAGCAGCAACACGTGCTGTGTGGTAGCAGTAGCAGCAGCAACAGCAGCAGTAGCAACACGTGCTGTGTGGTAGCAGCAGCAGCAACACGTGCTGTGTGGTAGCAGTAGCAGCAGCAACAGCAGCAGTAGCAACACGTGCTGTGTGGTAGCAGCAGCAGCAACAGCAGCAACACGTGCTGTGTGGTAGCAGCAGCAGCAACAGCAGCAGTAGCAACACGTGCTGTGTGGTAGCAGCAGCAGCAACACGTGCTGTGTAGTAGAATCAGCAGCAGCAACAGTAGCAGTAGTAACACGTGCTGTGTGGTAGCAGCAGTAGCAACACGTGCTGTGGTAGCAGGCAACGTGCTGTGGTAGCAGCAGCAGCAACACGTGCTGTGTGGTAGCAGTAGCAGCAGCAACAGTAGCAGTAGTAACACGTGCTGTGTGGTAGCAGCAGCAACAGTAGCAGTAGTAACACGTGTTGTGTGGTAGCAGCAGCAACAGTAGCAGTAGTAACACGTGCTGTGTGGTAGCAGCAGCAACAGTAGCAGTAGTAACACGTGTTGTGTGGTAGCAGCAGCAGTAACAACACGTGCTGTGTGGTAGCAGCAGCAAGCAGCAGCAACACGTGCTGTGTGGTAGCAGCAGCAGCAGCAACACGTGCTGTGTGGTAGCAGCAGCAGCAACAGCAGCAGTAGCAACACGTGCTGTGTGGTAGCAGCAGCAACAGCAGCAGCAGCAACACGTGCTGTGTGGTAGCAGCAGCAGCAACAGCAGCAGTAGCAACACGTGCTGTGTGGTAGCAGCAGCAGCAACACGTGCTGTGTAGTAGAATCAGCAGCAGCAACAGTAGCAGTAGTAACACGTGCTGTGTGGTAGCAGCAGTAGCAACACGTGCTGTGGTAGCAGCAGCAGCAACACGTGCTGTGTAGTAGCGGCAGCAGCAACAGTAGTAGTAGTAACACGTGCTGTGTGGTAGCAGTAGCAGCAGCAACAGTAGCAGTAGTAACACGTGTTGTGTGGTAGCAGCAGCAGCAACACGTGCTGTGGTAGCAGCAGCAGCAACAGTAGCAGTAGCAACACGTGCTGTGTGGTAGCAGCAGCAGTAACACGTGCTGTGTGGTAGCAGTAGCAGCAGTAGCAACACGTGCTGTGTGGTAGCAATAGCAGCAGTAGCAACACGTGCTGTGTGGTGGCAGCAGTAGCAGCAGTAACACGTGCTGTGTGCTAGCAATAACAGCAACACGTGCTATATGGGGAGCGGTATATCGTAACTACACAATACAGGGTGCTTCACTCTCCAATAAGTATATTTAGTATACTGATGATACTATGTAGTTTATACTTTAGTTGTTTACGTGGTGGTTTAGTTACTGCAGCTACATACTATTAACATTCCTTCCCTTTATTAATGCTACCCCTATCCCCTCCCTTTGATGCTGCTAATCCTGCATAATGCACGAGCATAATGACTTTAAACCCCCCGCCCACCTCCTACGCATTTCACAAGTAGTACTAATCGCATATCTGCATTTCCCATACATATGCTAAATTCATCTTGATATGCAAATTATTTTGTCAAGGCGCTCTTCCCCCTCCATCCCAGCTTAAAAAGACGCTCCAAGCCTGGGGTGTGTCATTCAGACTGTCTTCTCGACAGACCTGTTCTTCACCTGAGGACGGCTGCTTGCATTGTGGCCGAAACGTCGTGAGAATTATTTTATTGGTTTATTTTTATTATTTTATTATTTCCATTCTACTTGACTTTACCGAAAGAACCGAGAAGATGAATCCCTGCAGTCACGAAAGCTTTAAATCGAAAGTGAAGTGTGTCAAGTCATCATTACACGTGTATGCCACTCGACTTGTCTGACCATTAAAATGTTTTAGCACCCTCATCACGACTTGTTTGTTGCCTCTAGTTTGCTCTGAAGGACCTTTGTAATTGCCCAGACAAGGAATCGTAACCATCTCTCGCCTGGACAAACAATATTAACACAAGACACGGAATGTATAGCTCATTGCACGCACATATACGTATAACGATTTATTTATGGTAGTTATACACAACGTAATTTAGCATACAGGCTGATTTCACGAAAAACACCCAAATAACAATAAGATCACAACTATTTTTTATACATCCAATCTACAGAGTATCGTGTAGCTACTGGATAACGACATTGTACACTGTGGATGGGGGGGGGGGGAAATAATTCCATTACAGAAATTATATATTTAAAAAACCCCATGAGATGCAGTCCCATTTGATAAAAGATATTTAATGACACCGCCTTAATTCTAACCTGGTAGAGCCGAAGGGAGATTGAATCGCGGTGTCTAACGATGGTTCGATTTCATGTTGGAGAAGCCGTTGCCCCTCGTTCAGTTTGGGTTGCTCAATGTTGCCACTTTTTAGTTATTAAAATTAAGTTCACATCTTTGAAATTGGAAGTTGATGTGTTTCTTGTTGTGTGAGCGAGCAGAGGTTAAAGTGTTTGCCGCATGTGTCACTTAAAACGCATGTGCAGTATACCAAATCAATATATATATTTTAGATCCCTCAAATGTATCCCCTTTGATAAGTTACACTATAAGCTATAGAATCGGATTAAGTGATAACGCTTCTAAGCACCCTTTTCGGAAAATAAAGTCTATAACTTATTTTAAAAGTAATCAGGATGGAGAAAACAAAGTTGCAGAAATCATCTTTGCGCTTGAGATGCTTTGACCTTACAGCGAGTTCTTTAAATGTCAAAACAAAATGCCAATGCGGTTTTGACGGCAGAACAAAAGTGAAGAGTGTGCGATCGGCTCTTTAAAAGTAAAAAAAAAAGACAACGCGGCTTGACTCGTTAGGAATACTCTCCTCCTCATTGGGTTCAGATGTAGTGGGAGGTACGAGGTTTTAATAAAGTGGGGGGAGGGGGGGTGTGAATCCAGAACATGATTGTATTATTAATCATAAAAACGATGAAGTAATATTTAAGTAAATAAAAGTAGGTGTCTCGGAAAAGTGTGTCGCTTATCGGAATCCTTCTAACACATCATGCGTTGTGCGCTGCTTTAGTACGAATCAAAGACGATCAAAGGCTTAAGATGTTTAAGACGACAATGATTGTGCGCCGTAATAATCTACACTTGCCCGCATCTCATAATGAGCTAACAAAAACGGACGGCGTGTTTACATGATACTGAAGTACAACATTGAAAGATCACGTTGCAGAAATCATGCACGGTGATCCGATTAAACGCATTACAACGTGGCACGTTATGTTACTTTCACAAAGAGATCTTTCCCCAGACTTTATGCCAATCGTAGTCAGTGTTGGGTAAAAGTTGGGTAAAAGCAGTTATTGATGCCTGAGCTAAGACCGATCAATAACTCGCTAGAAAAAAAACATGAAAACCCAGAATCGCAGCTGGTGGCAGCTCAAAGCTCCGAGCCAACCTGGCCACCTCCATTTGTTGTCATCATCACTTTATTTGCCAAATGGGATGGGCTTCTGCGATTGAGTCGTTGCATTCACAATGCGACAATGAACAGCTCCTGCGTTTTGTCGTCTGTCTGGCCAGTGCTGAGGATCAATGCGGCCACGGCTCTGGCCGGTATCCATGTAACTGTATATCTTGTATCCACCGACGTCTTTTGGATGGGGGAAAAGGTAAGGTAAATATATATATATTTTTTTATTTATGACCAGTGCAATTGCTAGTGTGCATAATAAATTAGCAGCGTTGGTCTGTAAAGGGGTGTCATATGTACGATTGCATGGAATATATGTGAAAAACACATTTATAATATACGATTTTAAGAATGGATAATACAGTTTTAAAATTAATTACAACTTTTAAAAGGGAGCGTGTATACTATTTACTCAGCACGCAAATTGAACGCATTGAACAGTTAAAACATTTTAATGCCAGTGTTAAAATAAACCTAATAACCCTGCGGCCTTAATTTTGGACCACCCCGTATATATGGTGACCAGCGAAAAGCTATCGCTACAAAGTACAATGGCGGAGCCAGGATTTTCAGGTAGGGGGGGGGGCAACCCCTCCACCAACGAGAAATGATAAGAGTTGTGAGTAAGTAAGGACTTGTCCCTTGCTTTTTATTCGACGCGTGTGCGGCGATGGCGCAGCCATCGATCGAGGGTCGAATTCGAACCGCGTCGTGTGATCGGCATCGCACTCGCTGAAAGTGAATGCCTTCAGGGAAGTCGTGTCCTGTATACACAACTGCGCACAATTCTGAGTCACTTTTCACCGCTTTGCCGTTACTTATTGCCAATTATGGACTCAGACTATTGTCCTATCATCTCATCGAGTCCCTGGCACATGATAATATGCTACACAGTGGCAGTGGGGGTCGCAAATGCCTATGTATTACTAATAAACCCCAATGATCCGATCGAAATTAGGGATTTCGATCGGATCATTGGGGGGGCACGTGCCACCCCCCCACTGGCTCTGCCAGTGACAAAGCACGTCCCACCCCGCTAACCAGTGTGGTCATGCAGCCAATGGAATGCGGTGGCTTCACGATTGACGATGACATCACCAGCGTGAAGACGGGCCACGTGGCCGGGCTGCAGTGGTGCACCGCCTACTGGTGTGCAGCGGTCACAGTGACCACGTGTCGGATTCGCACTTTGCAAAGGCGTCCTCATTGAGAGGCTCGTCAAGGTTAGATTTCGTTTTCACGTATTCCTTTCAAATAAATGTAAACATACGTATTCGGCTTTCACCGATTGCTGTACGGTAAAATCTCCATGCGTCCAAAAAGTGATTTTTTTACTTGAAATCTACCAATGAAAGCCCGTATTGCTATGGGGGGGGGGGGGTTGTTTAGCTTTGGGGTCGAGTTTTCACCCAGGAGGACTGCTCAGGGCGAACTTAATGCACATCCCACAAAGGGCATTCCTTCTCCAAACACTGCTGGGCGAGGCCACTCCGTGGTGCGGGTGATCGTGGGGGTCACTTGGCCATTACGTCACGCAGCTTGGTGAAGGTGGGCAGCAAACAGGCGGGGACGGGTACATGGTACAACAATGGATTCTGCTGCTCTGCCCTTTGTTGGGGCCCAGCTTTCTACAATCCGTCGTGCATGCTGCAAGCCGATACACAACGATCCAGGGTCATCTCCGCTTAGCTTCCGAGATTTGACAAGAGCTGTGCACATTCCGAGTGAGTTTGGTCAAAGGCTCCTTCTCGAAACTTTACATTGGTTCAATTTGTTTTTACGGTTTAACCCAGACACTAGATGAACCTGGTTTCTTATATTGAGCATTGTGTGCCATACATGAAACGCGATCGACATTCACGTGTTTATAAAGATAAACACGGGAAATTATCAACACTGCAACTTTTTAATCCTTAATTAGTTCCGAACCCATGCAGTAAACATCGCTAACAACGTTGAAGTACAGAGTGAAAATAACAAGATTGTGTTTTTTTTTACAGTTTTTGTAATGCCGAGTTCATGTGCATTATTTGAACGATGACGTGCGTGTGCGATATCTGTAGTTCCAGAAATGTTGTGAATCATCAGCCGCACATTTTTTCAAGCCCCAATTTCACTAAGACGATTCCCGATTCGCTTAAAAGAGAACTCAAGCGATCCGTCTGTTCTCCGCGTGAAACCATACATTCACTTTTAAACAGAAACACATTTAAGCAATTTCCATTGGGTTAACGGTTAACACTACGATTTGGATCGTTTTAAATAGGGACAATGCAGTACATTGAAATCGATACCTAGAAAGCAATGCAGACGAAAGATGTTCATATTGCACAAGGCCGTGCATGCAATAAAGCAAACGTTGGTTTAATATTGGTCGCGAAAGCCCGGTTATCCATAAGAGGTTTTTTGGGTTAGATCGCATAAATGTATTGTTAAACCCGCCATCATCCCACACAGCCAATTAGTAAATCATGCCGCCTGATGATGCTAGTTGCAATTACTGGCAAAACGGCGAACTCGAATTGTAAATGTTGTGGGTTTGCTCTCCAACACACCTGCGCGCTGAACTAGTAACGAATTGGCATATTTTGTTTACGTGACAAACCTTACTAATTGGCCGTGTTGGGTGGGGGCGGGTTTAACGGTTGCTTAGTTTGTACGATATCATAGATTTCACGTTGTGCTACCAAGCGCTGGCTACTGGGGGCGCAGTCACTGCGTGCACCACGCGTGGTCACGTGTACACGCACCATACATAACCCACACGCCAGCAAAAACACTCACACAGGGTGCTGCCACTTAGTATGCAGCCACTCAGTATGCAGCATATGGGGCAAAGTTTCCGTCTTTTTGGGCCTCTAGTCTCCCCGCCTCTCAATTTCTTATCTTTGGTGTAAAAGTCAACAGCTGATAAAAATGTAACTCCAAATCTGCGAATATAACCGCGACCTCCACCACCTCCTCTTATCTGGGTGTCTCAACTGCAAGGTTGTGAATGCCGGCACGGCACACGGGGGGTGGGTGGATAGCACCACGCCCGACCGCCTTTGTCTCCCTCGTGGCAATGTTTACACATTGCACCAGGTTCTCGTGAGTTTGAGTCAGCCTCGAGGCGACCCAAGACCAGTTCATAGAAATCAGCGTTCTTCACAATTGTCAGAGGTTTAGGCCACTTGCGCCGATAAGACATCGTCAGTGCGAGGAGGTTCGCCACACATTTGAAACCATTGTTTGGTTTGACAGTAGCACGCTGATGATGGGGTGGTGTTTTGACATTGCTGTATTGTCGGGGGCCGCACTAAAGGCCACCAGGGACCGACAGTGGCCCGCGGACCTTGCAGTGAAGGACACTGGCCTACTAGGACTATGTGCATTGACTGCGATGCATTTGTCCAACTCCGTTGAGCAACCTGTTAAATATTGAGCGATTGTTAAGGTCGCAGTGGCTTCAGGTTAACAGGCAAATGAATGAATGCAGGAGGGGGGGGGGGTGAATTTGAGAAAACAATTAGAATCCTTTGAGCAGCACCCTGATAAAACGCGTGTACATGTGCGCACATCTATCGATTACGGGTCACCAGACATTTGCACGGATATCCCCCCACCCACCCCGTAAAGCCTTGAACAGACGGCCCAGGGAAATGCTGTTGGCGAGTCCCAGTGAAGGCGGCCGACACGGCACACGAGGTGGGTGGCCAACAATCTTACGCCCGACCGTCTTTGTCTCCCCGGTGGCGATGTTTACTGCACACCGCACCAAGTACTCGCGAGGCGGATTCGACTTAGGGGAGGGCCCGGCAACAATTCAGATAATCGTCACCTGCTTGTTGGTGGCTGTGAGCGGGAATCCAACTCTGGACGCCGGGGTCGTAGCGCAGTGCGCTAACCACTACGCAACCGTCCCACCGCACATGAGCACACACCCGTCCTATACACGTGCGCATCCGTGCATAGGAACCCGTACACACCACACATCCCACACACACGTAACCATGCGCATAGCTGCGTACAATTAAACTACACACGTACATTACGTATACACCTGGATACATTTTTCACATGTTCACTGACATACAAACGACGTCCACGAGACTGAAGCCACACCACACGATATCACACACCTGCAGAACCATGCAACTTGTGTTGAGCCGCTTTAAATATAGTCCGTAATAACCCTTGAATCACATAATTTAATCACCATGGTGAGGGAGGACTGGGTTGTAAGGATAGGGAAGACAAAAATCAACCAAGAGTTGTTTTTCACACCGCCGCCACGACCCCCCCTCCACCACCAAAGAAAAACCACGACAGCATAAACGACAGCGTTGAAGTTGCTCAACACCACGGATCCTCACTTTCACAGAAACTCGAGAGCCGGACAGCAAATCGGTGGAAGGGGGGGGGGGCATCGTCACACGCGACGGGATTCACAATGGCCATGAAACACAACAACAAAGTCAGATCCGACCTGGCGGGGACATCCCATCTGGATCACACGGGAGACCAACGATAGATTTCGCGTGGGCACGCTCATCGTTGGGTCGGCACCCCGCCGCGTCCGTAATGAATGTGTGCGTAGACGGGCGAGTGGCATTCCGGAACAATGTCGCCTACGGCAATGCCCCGGTTCACGTCGGGGGTGCGTTTCCTGAAATAGGTGCGACGACGGATATCGAAACGACGTCAAATCGAAGGGTGTGTAGTAGGTGGGTGGTGGAGGCGAAGGCTGAGAGGCGACGGGATAGGAGAGAGGACGGATGATGATGCTGCTGCTGTCAGCGACGCGAGTTTGGTGCGAGGTTGAGGCGACGCAAATCAGGTAGCGGTGGTGTGAATCATCAAGCGACGACGTAGTTGCGAGACGCCGTAAATCGGGGTACTGCTGTACAAGCGAGCAGGTGGCGCATCTCAAACGAGTTCTGCTGTGGGGTTCTCAATCGTAAAAACCACATAGGTTTGGAAGAAAAAAAGTCCCCTCCTAGCTGAAATCACTCCTCGCCCATCCGTGATCGGTAAAACGCCTCGCTCGTTGATGTTAAACAAATGTTTTGGCACACCAGCGGAAGTGCGAACGTGGTTTTGAATCAGAAGTCGCTCTGTACCATAAGTTAAATGCCCTTATCCCGACAACTGGCTGAGGATCACCACCACCACCACCGGATGAGCCCCACTCGGATCAGTCAGGTATGTGATCAATTACTTTTACACATCATATGACCATCTACACGCACATTATATTAACAGTATACATGTTTTATATTTTTTTGTGTACGGGCAGTGCTTGGAAATGTATCCAATCCTCAAATATACATCACATATAACCGTATACTATTAGTAGGCTTATGTATACAGTACACACATAATATATAAGCATTAAACATCCTGAATTGTACATGTGTTCCGATAGATTACATGCCATACCTTTTAATATCACATGTGCTTGTGTACTTTATACATACATGTGCCAACGCATGTATGATGGTGTGGTCGTGTTTCGAAAGTGGCAGTGGTTGAAGTTCGGCTCATTCACGGACGAGTTCGATGAACATGGTCTGTGATTCACGTATCCAAAAAGTTTACAATTTCCGCAAGACACTCACGCCCACCAACTCAGTCCCGCACTTATCTAATAAAAGGATTCTGGACACATCACCGAACACCGCCTGTAACTCACTCCCACCCACGGTGTTTATAAATGATGCACGAATGAGTTCGTAACATTATCCACGTGCAGGGCAGGGAGACCGAGGTTGTGGCCGCTCGTTTGCCGAAATAGTTCTGGTGTCATTACGCGATGGGGCGGAGGTAGCGATGAAGGGTGGGGGGGTACGTGAAACGACATCGGTCTCTACGTCAACATTTAAAAAAAGACGTCCTATATATTAAATCGATTGCATTTTTTTGGAACCATGAAGCGCGCGAGACATTCAGAATTTAATTCACCACATTGGCTTTTGAGAAGCGACAGTGATAGAAGTTAGTCCACAGGCTCACATCAGGATCACACGCTATACAATCACGAATCTTATTTAAAAAAAAAATCACGTTCGTGGGTAAGCAATCAATACACGCGTTACCAAAGCGGCACTGACCAACAACTCTTTGACTAATTAGTGCACCAGCCCAGACCAAACGGTTGTGTTGTATCTCTGTGTGCTGGTTATCCCGGGGGTGTGCGTGGGGCAGGAAGGCCCACTGAGCTGGCCAACGCCATGGGGAGAAGGTAACTTGTCCGCAGCAACTGATACAGCTTGTCACTCGCAACGTGTTAGTGAGCGATTGACAAGCAGGCAAAACAAAAAAAATATTAGGACATTTAGGTTTTTTTTTTAAAGGGTCCATAACCACAGATGGTATTTTTAAGTCAAAATGTTATCAATCACGCGTGAATACAGTGACCATAAATAGAGATTGGTACCATCAGAGTTTACCGCGTCGTTTGCTACACCAAACTGCTGATCTGGCTGACAAGCATGTGGGGTGGGGGCGCTGTAATGGGATTCAAAACTGTTGCTATGGGAGGCGGTGAAACTCCTCGATTAGACATTTCCGTCTTGAATTACAAACAAAAACTTCGAGTAGAGACATCTACAGGGTGAAACTTCGCTTGTAAAACGTGGGGGGGAGGGGGGGTGTGTAACAAGCCCAAAACAAGATGCTGTAAGTCAACTTTCTTGATCTTGTCGCCAATTGCTCGATAACAAAAAAATAATAATTTACATTTTAAACACAGCCCCCCCCCCCCCCCGCCGCTTTTAATTGGTGCAGATTTTTATTCCCGGGGGGTAGCTTAACACTGCAGTAGTGGGGACGCAGTTTTGCAGTCCTTCCCCAATAGTTTACTGCCAAAGCAGGAGGTATTGCCTCTGCTTATAGCAAGGTGGATTTCATAATCGCGGAGAGATTTCTCATATGTATTTGTATATATATTTTAAGCCCAAGTAAGAAGAACGTACTTAATTTGTATCCTTCGGCCTGGGCATATTTGTATAAGACATCATGATAATGTAACAGTTTAGTTCGAATAATTAAGATCCAAACAAATATAACCCCCTTCCCTAAGCGGCTAACGAGATCAACAATGTCATTGCTTTCATAGCTTCCTTGGAATTCCACGACTGTTGTGCATGCCCGTCGACACAATGCGAAGAGAAGGTATGGAGGGAAAAGTGGTAAACTCTTAAAGATGTAACAGGGAAACGAATCATCAACATGTCTCGTTTGGCCAATCCTGTTGCCTTTTAATCTCTCGCCCGTAAGAGCCTTTTAAATACCAATCACTCCTCCCGTGCAATGTTGTCACACGTGTGCATGCGAGTTTGTGTACGTAACACTATAAGTGCATTTAAAGCATCGCATCACCACTATTCTGGGGAACATCCTACACATGAACATGACCTCGAGCTGTGCAAAAACAACCCCACTTTCTTGAGGATGTGAAAAATAAGTCTGAAATGGTGTACGGAAATATAACGTGCGAAATTTCTTCGGAATCAGAAGCGTAGCTTTTACTCAAGTAACCCAAGTATCAGTGGCCAAGGCCCATCACCTCTGCGAGCCCCGAATGCCCGCAAACAAGACGAAAAAAATCGCCAAAATCCCCCTCCCCTCCCATCGCTGTCACAGCCGCAGCGTATTTTAGCTTAATTCTGAGCCTCAAGCATTCCCTACGCTCACACCTGATTAGTCATCAGGAAGGTTTAAAATTTAGTTTCAGTCGACCAATGTCATGGGGGAACCAATCACAACAGTGGAATGTATTAAGAGCTGGGTGCAAGGACAAGATTGGGTAGGAAATTAAGGTCAGGTTCAGTGTTCAAAGGATTTCCAGGCTGAGGGTTATACAATTGGCCTGGGAGGGTCATGGGATGGGGAGGGGGGGAAAGAATAAATCACAATTGATGTAAGGCTCCAGCCAAGGGGAGATCAGATATACACGGCTCTAGAGTTCATATGACGTGGACAAAGCGATAGCGAGAGAGCGGGAGACCGCGAGCGAGTGAGCAGAGGAGCACGCAACAATGCAGCACGATCTCGGAAGCGTGAATCCACGACACGAGGGTGGGGGGCGGGAGCGGTGGAAGAGGTGGAGGGAATCCCTCCAAATCGATTTTTCAATCGAAAGTACGGACGAAGCGGGTGGGGGGGGGTGGCCTTTACCAGAACGTGGGAGAGGAAACGACAATGGGCACGACACGTGGAGAGAGGAAGGAGGCGGCATGGCGGAGGAGGGGAGGGACAGCGTTTGAGTGCGTGAGAAACTGACGCGCGGGGGGTGGATGGAGACGAGCGGAGTTCAGAATTGTTCGGCGAGGAGCTCGCAAAGCCTTTTGGAGACGCTCTCTTTGCTCGTGCGCAGCGTGAGGCGGTACATCTGCACACGCACACACACACACCGCACACGCGCACACACACCGCACACGCCGCACACACACACACCGCACACGCCGCACACAACCACCGCACACACACACCGCACACGCCGCACACACACACCGCACACACACACCGCACACGCGCGCACACACACACCGCACACGCACACACACACACCGCACACACACACACACACACCGCACACACACCGCACCAAAAAAAAGACAAAGACAACACTGTTGGGGCAAGCGCTGTTAACGAGCAACTATGAAGATCGGCATGGCATACGAGGGGTGGGTGGCCAGCACCAGGCCTGGCCGCCTTTATCTCCCTAAGAATGTTAACTACACAACGCTATGGTCGGTACTCATGTGAGTTGGATTCGACCTAGGGGGGGAAGCCCAGGAACGGCTCAGATAATCGCCACCGGCATTGGCCACGAGCGGGAATCGAACCGGTGGGCTAAAGCAGTGAACTATTAGTCTTTTGTCAACGTGACACTTTTTTGCTGATTGGCCGTGTCGGGTGGTGGAGGGTTACGACACATTTATAAATAACGCGATCTAAACCCAAAAAACGTTGATTATGAATGATTATGGGAATCGAACCCTCGGCCTGCAGGAGTCGTAGCGCAGCGCACTAACCGCTACGCTTACCGCTCCGTACACACACACACAACAAAACACATGCAAGGCACTAAAAACGACCACTCAAGTCTGAGCTGCTGCCCTCCAGTTGGCTGGAGGGTGAACATTTGGCAATAAGTTTTGTCCAATCCCGGCCCAGCCGGCTCAAAAGAGGCAAATGGCCAACGAAGAAGAAGCGTACGTCGTCAACACCACCAACGAGCGCGCGCACTCATACCTGCGCCTGCAGGTTGGGCTCCAGTCGCAGAAGGCAGCCGATCTGCAAAGTCTTCGTTTGGATGATTCCTGCCCCCACATAGTTGTCCGGGTTGGGGTCGACTCTTTCCAGCATGGCCATGCCAAACCCAACCAGCTGATACACACGTGTGCACAAGATTGCAAGCGCACACACACACACACAATAAGTCCTCGCTTCAACACGCGTGTTAACACACTCTTAGGTTTTTTCGGTAAAGTCACGTAGATAAAAATAAATAATAAAATAACAATTATAGAAATAATAATAGAAATAAAATAATAAATCACGACATTTCGGAGGCAACACAAGTCTCCGTCATCAGGTGGGACCGTCACAGCTAGATTTACTGTCTCAAGTGAGGCAAAAATTCCAAGATACAAGTTCAGGGGAGAGGAGGGGGAGAGGGGCTTATCTGAATGTGGTAGCCAATGAAAGGAACGTATTGGGGGGGGGGGGGGGCGGGGCTAAAAGAGAACAACAGGTGCACATGCTAAAGGTGCACATGCTAGAAGAGAACGACAATGCACATGTTGTTTTACCCAGTGTTGGTTGACAATCTAAATACAAAAACACGTGTGTTAACACAACGCGTTTTCGCCATAATGCGAAGTGCTCACGAGGGAACACTTTTTGCACAACGGGGGAGGGGAACGTCATGACGCGGAACGCGCTCCGTTATAACGCAGACTTGGAGCACTCGACGACGAACCACGTTCTTGAGCTACGCAGCCGAGTGGTAGTGACACCGCCATCTTACTGCGTGCGCGTAGGAGTACCTCGTAGCTCGCCAAACTTTATCGTGATATCTTATTTATGTGAAAATTATTTTTGCTTCACGCGGCATTTTTCAGGAACGCATCTCCTGCGTTAACCGAGGAAATTCTGTATTGAGAGCGCATAGTTGTGTTTGACAAAAACATTTACAATTCGAATGGGTTTACTACTCTCCAACACGCTGGTGTGCTGAACGAGTAACTATTTGGCATGTTTTGTTTACGTGATACATCTTACTAAGCGTCTGTGTCGGGTGGTAGCGGGTTTAACGACACATTTATATTCATGCGATCTAACCCAAAAAAAACCCTCAATTATAAACCTTCATTCATTCCGTTTTACATCGCTCCCCATCGCTGGTACACACGCACCTTGGCTTTGGTAACCTCTAGTTCCATTGGTGCCGTTGCCTTGAAGATTCTCTGGGCTTCTTGTTGTGGGCTGCACTCGCACGGACACGGAAAAACAAGCAACGTTTAGTCTTTCTTTACACCGCCATCAACCGATAACGATGGCGTGGGTATGCCCCACCGCTTGGGCTAGTGCTCTTAGCGAGCACCTACGATTGCCGGCACGGCACACGAGGGGGTGGGTGGCTAGCACCACGCCCGGCCGCCTTTGTCTCCATAGTGGCAATGTTTACACACCGCACCAGGTTCTTGTGAGTTTGAGTCAGCCTAGAGGAGACCCAGGATCAGTTAATATAAATCAGCGTTCTTCACTAATTTTCAGAGGGGGGTGCCATTTTCCCCTATAAGACATCATCAGTGTGAGGGCCACCACACACATTTGAAACCATTGGGGTGTGACAGCTGCATGACGATGATGGGGGGCGTTTTCACATTTGTGTATTGTCGGGGGCTGCACGTCAGGGGTCGCACTAAAGGCCACCCGTGGCCCGCGGGCCTTGCAAAAAGGAATATTAATATAAATCATGACGGGTGTTGGTCATGAGCAGGAATTGAACCTCGGGCCACCGGGTTTGTAGCGCAGTGAGCTAACCACTGCGCCACCGCTCCCCACCACACAAAAAGACAAAGATCCCCCGTGTAGACTTAACAGACTGTTGGGGCAGGCGCTGTTAGCGTGCAACCTATGAAGGCCAGCACGGCACACGAGGGGGTGGGTGGCCAACACCACGCCCGACCGCTTTTGCTTCCCCAGTGGCGATGCTTACACACCACACCAGGTGCTCATTTGAGGCCGAGTCGACCTAGGTGAGGCCCAGGACCAGTTCAAATTATCGTCACTGGCGTTGGCCGTGAGCGGGATTCGAACTCGGGTCGCCGTGTTCGTAGCGCCAGCACGCTAGCCGCTGCACTACCGGCTTCCCACCACACACGCGCGCAGACGTGTCTACTTCTCCAGACTGCGCGGTCTGCCAAGTCTCCTCGGCTGGCAGCGAAACGAAGCGTTGGGGGGCACGGGCAGCACCTGCTCAGCTGCTTCCAGCGTGCGAAGAAGTCCTGCGAGGCCATCTCAGTCGGCTGAAAGAACTTGTTGAGAACGACGGGGAGCTGCATCGTGATGCTTTGCATGGAGCCCCCATAGCTGGTGCACACGTCCATATGCACCACACACAAAAGACAAAGATCCCCCTTATAGTCTTAACAGACCGTTGGGGGGGGGAGGCAAGTGCCGTTAGCGAGCAGCTCCTATTGCGCACGAGGGGGTGGGTGGCCAGCATTGTGCTCGGCCGCCTTTGTCTCCCCGGTGGTGATGCTTACACGCCACACCAAGTCGTGATTTAAGGCCGAGTCGACCGAGATGAGGCCCGGGATCCGTTAATCGCCACCGATGTTGATGGCCGTGAGCGGGAATCCACCCTCTGGTGGTGCGGTGCGCTTACCCTTACACTACTGCGCCCCACTGCGCACACACATAAGCACACGTACGTTAGTACATATACATGCGTGTAAAACACATTCATTCACTTGCATTGATTTACTCAGGAAGGCCCCGCCGAGTTTTACACTCATCAGGGGAGTACCGCTCTGGTTTTTGACAAGTTGGGGGCGACAACTCTTAGTGTTTTGTTTAGCCAAGCGAGTAGATTTGCGGGCCAATTTTCTCAGGTTTTTTCGGTAAAGTCACGTAGGTAAAACATCAAAATTAATAAAAATAAAATAAAATAAAGATCACGACGTTTCGGAGGCAACACAAATCTCCGTCATCAGGTGGGACCGTCACAGCCAGATTAGCTGCATCAAGTGAGGCAATGATTCAAGATGTAATCCCTTAAAAGCGAGTTGAGGGGGGAGGAGAGGGGGGAGCTCATCAGAATGTGGTAGCCAATGAATGGAACGTATCGGGAGGGAGGGGGGCGGGGCCAACGTGACTTTACCGGAAAAAAACCTAAGAATATGAATCCTTGCAGTCACGAAAGCTTCAAATCTAGAGCCAATTTTCTCATTTGAGAAATGTAGACCATAACGCCCCAGCGCCACGTCCCCTCCTCCTTCTCGAATAGCGCAATGGCATCGTCAACGTCCACTGTAAAGCAGACGGCGTGCGGACATTTGCGGTTCGTACCCACCCCCCTCCGCGCAGGATTAAACAGGGCGGCCACGGGGTTGTAACCTTAAACCTCGGCAACAAGCGGCTGACGTGCTACCACTCGGCCACATTGACGCCCACATACACAGCAGAACCCCTCCTCTTAGGGAAGGTAATTGGTTCCACGAAACCGGTCGTCGAGTGATTTGGTCATTAAGCGAGTATAGGGAATGCACGTTAAGGGCTAAATTCGTTCCGATAGCAACGAAAGTTACCCCTTTTTCATCGAAAAAATTTACTTTGTAATATTAAACAATGGATATGAATACATAAAGATACTAACAACATTATAAACACATAATATTAAAATAAAGACGGTTAAACAATGCATTCATTCATATTTACTGTACCTACAACAGCCCATCGTTAACAGGGGATTGGTCGGTAAGCGAACATATTGGGCTCTATGGAGGCCTGTCGTTAAGTGATTAGTCATTAACAGTGGGGGGGGGGGGGAGGTGGTTAAAAGGGGTTCTACTCTACGATACACTACACTACATTATACACTACACTACCATTTCCTACACATTGGGCTCTATGGAGGCCCGTCGTTAAGCAATTAGTCGTTATTAGGGGTCGTCGTTAAGAGGGGTTCTACTGTATGTAAGTTGAAGACAAGCTCGCATGGTGATGCTGCACGGGCAGTGGTGGACAAGCACAAATAACCAACAACCATTCGTCAATAACGCTGCTTTAAAATAAAACATACGATTGGCAATGTTTCTGCAGTGCCCCAATGTTTCGGGGAGGGGGGACTGCACGTAAAGCCTCATGGCCATCGCATGGCTCGCCGATTAGGCACTCGGCGAGTGCTCCAGAGGATGAGAGGATACCAGAATCTTTATTGAGACTGCTGGAGGAATCCAATGAGCTATGAAGCTCTGTTTTGCAGATGTCCAGTTTGGATGGGTCAGCAAGTTACAACTAAGAGTTTAACAGGCGCCCCTCAATAGGGCTCAATCGTTACCACCACCAAATAATACTAAGACCCTAACCACCTTCACAGTAAACCCATAGCCATAACCTCAAAACTATGAAACATATCCACACGCTAAAATCGTACGTCTAATAAAAAAACCAATCCATAACTTCTTAGCATAAACCAGAACACAAACTTGAACACGAATTTGACCCCAAATGGCTCACAGACCCCAATCCTTAACCCAAGCATATCTCAACGTCTCAACCATTTGAACAATTAACTACAAAACCCTTTACCCCTGAACCTTTCCATTTAACATAAACACAACCTATTAATTTAAACCACGATGCCTTTACCCGAACAGCAGCTTTGTAAGGCCAACAACACGCTCAAGCCCTCTCACACCCGACCCGTCTGTGTGTGTGGCCGAAGAGAAGGAGTGTCTGGGTCTCACCGGAACTGGATGGTAAGGAGAGGTGCGTCGCTGAAGTCGTCCAAGCACTCGACATTGATCATCTGCTGGACCTGGGCCCCACCGTCGATCAGCGGCTCCACTGTGCGAGCCTCCACCGCCAGCTGTGCCAAGGGACCCCCGTGCAGTCAAGGAGGCTATCGTTTGCGGCCAGGGTCGCTTTGGAAAGAATAAGTTAATATCTCGGTGGGGCTTTGCCTGGCAGGGATGGTTTTAATGTTGTATTTGTGTGTTTTGGGCGATTTGTTAACCCTTTCATGGACTGTTCATAATAATGAAATCCACAGCAAGATTTCACACCTGATGAGGATTGCTTGTGTTGCAGTCGAAACGTCGTGATAATTTTTACTGTTTTATATTTATTTTATTTTATTATTTCCCTTCTTTGTGACTTTACCGAAAGAACCAAGAATATGAATCCCTGCAGTCACGGAAGCTTTAAATCAAAATAAAAAAACATCTATATTTATGCGACCTCACCCAAAAACCTCTATTATGGATAATATTGATCGCGAAAGCGTGCGTGTTAAATTAATCCACATCATAAAAAAAAAAAATCGCATTTTTGTCATCATTATTTTTTATGTCGCAATAAAAGAAGCTGGTGCAACAAGGATATGGTTTTTCAGCTCTCCGGGGCACGCGACGGTGGGCGAGAAGCTCTGGAACTGAACGGACGTCTTGTTGCCGTAGAACAGGCAGACGCGGCCTGCGTGATGGGGGCAGACGCAAGAACGAGCATGGCACCTCCTGTTAGCTCTGAGACAGACTCAGGTGCCCGCGGACGGATCTGTTTCATTAGCCAAGGGCTTGATGCACCCTGTGGAGGCACCACTAAATGACGGGATTAATAAAAGGTGCAGGCGCTGCCACATTCAGCTACCCGGGTGAGTAGATTTTGCCACACGGGAGCCAGCAACTCGTTTTTTAATTACTGCCCAAATATGGCTTTGACAGCGCATGTCAGCGTCATCGCGTGCAGCTGTGTGCGTGGCCGGGAATGAAAATCTTGCTGCTGCTGCTGCTGCCAGGATGTTAGTGGAGTGTGCTCATTGACATCTTGACGCTTAAGTACACAAAGACAAAATATTCCCCCTATAGCCTGAACAGACTGTTGGGGCAAGTGCTGTAAGAGCACCTACGAAGGCTGGAACGACACACGAGGGGGGGGGGGGGTGGCCAGCATCACGACGATGCTTACACACCACACCAGGTATTAATTTGAGGCCGAGTCGACCTAGGGGGAGGCCCACAACCGGTTTAGCTAATCGTCACTTGTGTTGGCTGTGAAAAGGGAATCGAACTCGGATTCGTAGCGCAGCGCGCTAACAGTTTCACACACGCACACACACACACACAAAATCCCCCTCGCCACTCACTTACCTAGATTCTGTCTGTATTCAGACTTGACTCCGATCTGTAGCAGCTGATTTTCAAACAAAACCCCATTGTTCTTGCACACAAACCTAAGGGACAAAGATAACATCACATATACGCACTCGTGTTGCAAATATATATTTTTCTAAATATATTCCCGTATTGTTCCCTTAATAGGAGCAACCTTTCTGTTAAAACTGAAAGACTATTGTTAGAATTAAGTTATCCCAATTAAGATTTAGATTGCATTGCTGCAATGCTGTGTGATATGGACCAGATATGGCTTTGCGATTGTCTTGACCACTGACCAAGTTATTTTTTTCAACATGGAGAGGGCTAAATAGAAGTATATATTTTAATCTTAACACTACACTAAAAAAGGTAGGTATATACAGTTTTCACAATATAATTGTGCATTATATTCAAGGGTTTACTGGAGACCTTTGTTTTTGTGTGCCCATCGTGGGTTTGGGATTAGAAGACTGGCCCCTATCAGGGGCGAGGTCACGTGATGGGCGTATTCACGGTGAGATCAGCCCCCCCTCCCCCTCCCAAATCAGCTCTTTGTCTCAGCATTCATTGCAATTTGCAAAGGACAGAAGGGCGCTTCCAATTTCACCCCATGGAGCGGTAGTGTGCCAATTGCTGGGTGAAATCCAACGAAACAGGGCCCGTGTGCATTTGTGTATGTGTGAACATGTGCACACGTTACACGTGCGCCTGTATTATTTTATACGGTGTGCGTACACATGGGCAATACATAGAGTAAAAAAATAAACGGTGTATCCTTAATGTTACCGAGAGAACAATAAAACTACATCACAGTTCAGGCCGAGTGGCCCACAGTAGAACTGGAGGAAGAGCGACCACCCACACGCAGCCGCGACTCCTGTGCAGGATCGGGCATCCCCTTCCACTGAACGGCGGACGGTCAGACTGACACTTTGGCTGGATGCGCGGTGGGACGCATGACGGAGGGAGGTGCAGGGGAACTAGGGGTCGGACATCTTACTTGTTAAAGAGCTCATCGGCGCCATGCAGGGCGCTGTCATCAGAGAGTGAGACGGGCGGGGAGAGAGTGCGCTGGCTGCACACAATACCCGATGTGTATACACGCACGCACGCACACACACGTATGGTCAAACAGCAAAAGGGCACACACACTTCCAAGTGCCCGTGCATCCACGTCAGTTCACGCGCTGACATGTGCACGCACGCGCCACGGAAAGCAAAGTGTACGCCTGCGAGCACACACTTGCGTTGGGGCCCTCTTTATATTCATGAAAGAGCCCCAATCGTTCAGATGCCGTGCCACGAATGCAGCCTGCCGCTGACTGTCACATGCTGAGTAACCTCGGTTTCCAAGCATTTCGCGAGGATGTATGTAAACGTGTGCATGTTGAAACTCTTTTGCACCGTACGTAGCAGACCGTGCTAAATCGGAGGAAGGACAATCTAAATCTAAAAGTCAGTTCTAAAAGAAATCAGTTTGTTAATCTAGACGATTTAAAAGTGCATAGCTCCAGGGGCTTCCTAATATTGGAAGAGCGTTCCAGAAGGCTGCAGAAGTGCACCTGAAGGCGCGTGATGCGGTGACCCTTTTTTGTTCGGTGGCCAGCCAAAAGCTGCCAAAAGCAGGAAAGCACCAAAATAACTGAATGATGGACATATGCAAGGCGGCACCTGTCCCCTCGCCCCCCCCGCGTTGCTTGCGCCACCATTATTAAAATTAATATTACGAACGACACGCCACACACGCAGCATCTTGGAATATTTGTCTAAGCAGACGACATCGCTCTCGCTAAGCGAGCATCAAGCCTCGAAAAAAGGTAGCTACACCCTTTGCCGAGGACCTTAACAATGATGCGGAGGGATTTTGGAAATTGGCAACTGCATTCCGCTTATCTGGCGAGAAAATGCCAAAATGACACTCGTCTTTCAGCAGCAAGAAAGGTTCTGAAAAAAAGCCATCACCAAAATAAATCTCAAGAGTTACTCTGGATCGAGGCCTCGGGCCTACCGAGAACATTTGAGGAAATCCGCAAAAAGACAAAGACCAGGAGACGAACCCTCAAAACACAGAAACAAACACAGGCACGTGTTGAGAAGCAGACGGGCGTACGCTCCGTACGGCTACCTTGGGTCTTAAAATGTACGCCACAGCACAGTGCCGAGCTCGGAAAGAAGTGCCAGTGAACAGCCTGTTCTGTAACGCACCGGGAACCAGCGCGGAGGCTTCAGGAGCAGCTGAGAAGGCGATCGCTTTTGGTGACCGTGTGACGACTCAGGTCAAGTTTGTTCTGGACCCTCTGTAGCCCGAGACAAGTTTTTCTTTTACGTTCCATAGAGGACGGCACTTAGCTTTGCCGCAATCGAGCAGTCATCTTACAACTGCCATTTGCTACAGTGTGCGGGTGTGCATGACAATGCACTAACATACAAGTGCACACGCCTGACATGTGCACTCGCTTTATGGAAATATACAACGCAAACAAACATACGCGACACTTATACATACACTTGCGCATGCACAAACGTGTGTGTGTGTGTGTGCGCCAACGTAAATTTTCCCCATACATCCAACGACAACATACGTTGCACGGCCTCCACACTCCGCCTCTTCCCACCCCACATATGCGTTTGTTAGCGAGTTGGCTAGTGGCTGTGTGACAACATCAAAATGGGTTCAGAAAATTCTTCACTGGTTTCGTTCCAATTTTTTTTTTAACCGTTCCACACACGAGTCGTCAGGCAGCGAGTCGTCAGGCAGCAAGCAAGAGGCCGTTTCAGATCGTGGCAGCAGCAGCACGGGAGACGCAGCAACCCACTGCAAGAGGGCAGCAGCGCCGCCATGGCAGTTTTACTTTTGCGCTCAAAGCGATCCTGCGTGTTGGCAACTCACTTGGCAAAGTATTCATCGGAGGAGATGGAAGGCAACGCAGCGGCGGTGCCAATGTCGGAGAAGACGTCGACGAGCAGCCCTCCTCCTCCTCCCCCCCCGCCACCTCCGCCGGGCGGCCCCACCACCGTGCCGCTGGGCCCCGGCCCTCCCGGCGACGGCACGGAGCCCGCCGCGACTGCGGCCACCGCGGCCGCCGCGGTGGGGGCGCCGAGGCCCAGCAGGTCAGCAGACGCGGACGGGGACGGGGTGGACTGCACCGAGACAAAAGACAAAGATTCCCCTGTAGAGCCCGAAGACTATGAAGACCGGAACGGGTGGGTGGCCAGCGCTACGCCCGACCACCTTGGTCTCCCTAGTGGCGATATTTACACACCGCACCAGGTACTCATTCGAGGTTCGGGACCGGTTCAGATATTTATCACTGGTTGGCCGTGAACGGGAATCGAACCTGGGTCGCTGGGTTCGTAGCGCAGTGCACCAACCACTACACTACCGCTCCCCACACGCACACACACAAGCATGTAGGCAATTGCATGTGTGGAACCCAAGACACACGTAGACAGTGGGTGGCTTTTGCAGGCACCGTACATTATTTCACTTCAGTGAATAGTGTGGTATTATTCGATAGTTACAATCTGTGGATACTCTTTCTACGCTTTCCAAACCAAAATTGAAAGTGTTAGTAATGTGTTAACTTTGTCCGTCTGTCTGAAAAGGGGAGGTCATGACAACTAAAATAATACAATTTTAAATCCTTTTCAGCAAAAGTTTCATACGTGTTAATTTGTTTGCGTTTAAGGTGGGTTAGGCCCTCGTGGACCTTGAAGTACCTGACCCAACTTCTATTATAATGTGTATTACTTCCCAGAATCTTTAAATGGAACTCGGGTAAACACACAAAGCCTGCAAGAGGTCCCAGAGGACTGGTCTTTCCACTGAGAAGCTGCAGCCCATTGATCCATTAAATAATAATAATTTCATTTCATATAGCATCATTCATGCAAGTGCATCCCACAACACTGCACATCAATTATCCAGTTCCGTACACAGATTATACAAAAACAAAACCCCACTGCTTCTTTCGGCAAAACTACATAGAAATTCCTCCTGTAATATTGTCATTTTGGATAGGAGTTTACTTGTCTCAATAGGACTCCGGGAACCCAATTTGTAAAAAAAAAGGTGGAAATGAACACAAAGTTCAACATGTAAACAGCGCGACGTGCCGAAGGTATTGATGTACGTACAAGGGCGCTGGCTTTGAGTGCGATGGGTTCAGATCCTCCGTTGAGTTCTCCACCAGGGCCGGTCTTCTTGCCGTCTTCCAGGTCTGTGACGGTGGACGGGCCTTTCTTCTTCTTGAGCTTGGCCAGGATGGACGACTCGCGCTCTGGAAACGGTGGCATCTCCTCCAGCACCGTGGCCTTGATTTTGTTAACCACGGGGGGTGGGTGGGTGGGGGAAACAGCGGAGGGATGGAACGGTTAAGAGCACATTGGGACAGGGAGAAAATCTCGGTGGCACGTCACTTTGCACCACGGGCAGAGGCCGACCAACGAGGCAACGTGGTTAGGCAAACGATACGTGCATGTGCGGCGCAGACAGAATTCACCCACAGGAGGAGCACGGAGAAATGGAGGTGGATATATTGATGACGAGAATTTTTTTTCCTATTCTGGCGTAGGGCATTATGTTAGGAGTTAAAAAGGCAATGTCGAGGTCTGCTAGCCAGGAGAGGACTTCAGGAGAGTCAGTGGAGTTGAACAATAAGGTCAATGAAGGAACAGAGGCCATGGAATATTATTGGGCAGATTTGGTTTGGCCTCTTCATAGAAGATCACCGCTGTGTTTTCAAAGCCAACGGTGGATGCCCTCTGGATGCTCACCCCACGCCACCGCTGGCTCAGGGCTGTAAAACGGGAGATGACCAACCACCCTCTCAATGCTCATTTGAGCAGAAAAAAACCCACTGACTTTTGACTGCTACATCATAGTGGATGTTAACAACTGTGTGCTTCCTATGTTGCCGGTGGCAAGTGTCAGTCGTGTTTTGCTGTCGAGCGATGAAGGCGATGGCGGTGAAGATGACGACGCGATGCGGTTTTGTCGGTGGCATGCAGCGAGTGGGGGTCGAACCAGCACGTCGGTGGTGGCGACGGTGCTCAGCTTGAGGTACTCGACCGCTCGCTGCTGCAGTTCGGCGTCGGCGTTGCGGAGCTGATTCCCCGAGCGCAGCACCTCCTGGATGGTGGGCTTGATCTCGGGGAAGAGGTTCACGAACTTGATGTACGTGCTGAGCAGCAGCGCGCGCGTCGATACGCTGCACAGGTGGAACTTGGAGTGCAGCAGGTTGAACTGCACGAGGGGGCTGCACGCAGGCACCCACAAACGCACGCACACGAGCTAATTCACTCGAGGTTCAGTCCGATGCGGTTCAGAGACAAACTCAAGACTTGGCCGTGTATACAAGTAAACGAATGTAAAAAAAAAAATCGAAACAAACATCATTGCACACTTACATGGCGCCAATATAAATGCTGGTAAGGCCACTTAAAGAGTGTTGAAGATTATCAGACTGGTTATGGGACGAACAGACCAGATTCTGTTAGGAACAGATGGAATCCAGTTGTTTAAAAGTGATGATGAATATAAAAAAAACAATGAGTGGACAGTGAAGCTGGGTTTATGGAGTCAATAGCGAGATATAGCTGGGTGCCTTCAGCATAGAAGTGATGGCTCACGTATGATATTGCCAAGCAGCAGAGTGAGTATATTGAGAAGAGCAAGCAGCTGAGTATGGCACTGTGTGAGACACCGCTGCACACACAGGTGTGTCTGACAGGAAGACGGTCCCTGCATGGAAACATAGCAGCGGTTCTGGAAGATAAATGGGAAACCAGCAGGGAAGTGTGACGGAGTCCTCTAAATGTTACGGAAGTGCACAAAGAGAGGAGCGAGTGGATGGAGTGGCCTACAGCGTCAAACGCAGCAGAGGCCTAGGAGAAGCAGCGCTGATAGCGACCCATTGTCTGAAGGGTGAATACAGTCATTTACCGCATGTTGGAGAGCATTTTGAAAAGAATGGCTTTGGCGGAAACCAGATTGTACTGGGTCATCTAGACCACGGGGGGGGGGGGGGGGGGGGGGGACTTTTTTTGGAGGGATCAGAGAAAATAAATTTAGACCAAAATATAAATTGGTAGGATGGAGTAATAGCAGCAGCCTTGAGAGCTGTGGGGATGTTACCAGTTCGACGGAGGCACTGATGAAGCTGGTAAAGTACAGGGGGCCAGGGCGGGTAAGGCAGTGAGGGATGGGTATGGTGGGGTAAAGGAGCGAAGACAGACGAGTACGTTTACAAGTTGTTGCGATGTTGTTCATGGTGACAGGCTGTGACACATGTCAAGGGTCGGTGGTGGCGGGAGACAGACACGCGATACAAGGAGCAGTCAGATGTTAGAATTCCATTCCCGATTTTATTGACCTCTTTGAAAAAATGAAAAGAGGCGATTTGCTCACAAGCCCTTTCCCGTGGTACGTTTTGGTTTAGACAATATCGCTTATTAACTCCTTTAGCTACGATTGTAAGAACATGTATGAAGAACCTATTTAGCACCATACGTCGTCAACTGCGTGAATCCGAGGTGCAGAGGAAGGACAAAAACTAAACACATTAAGCAGTTTTAAAGAAATTAGTTTTAGGTCTAGATTTAAAAGTGCATAGCTCCAGTGGCTTCCTAATATCAGAAGGAAGAGCGTTCCAGATGGCCGCAGAAGCGCATCTAAAACCGTGCGATGCGTTGACCGTCTTTGTACGATGGCTCGCTACAATCCGCTGCGAGGGTGACCGGTGTTCACGCGATGGTTTATGCTCCCTGACGAGAGCAGCCCACGTAGACCTAATCCAGAAAAAATAGGCGTACACAAGGACACACACCTGGAGCGAGGGTCTCCAGCGATGAGATTTCCGAATTCTCCCAAGATGTAACCGCCCACCTTGACCATGTTTTCATGGCATGCTGGGGCCTGCAGTGCCTGTACACACACACACAGAGTGCACAACACATGCACCACTTGCTCAGAGCTGCACACTTAAAAATAGCCCAATTTAATGCTTTTAAAAACAGCACGTAAAGACTATAAAGCCCTAAACTGGAATATAATTGCATTCAGCTCACGAACGATAAAAAGGCTTGCCAATAATTATTTGTATAACCGACTGATAACCAGAAAAGCATAACTCGATATATTTCAGTTGACTAGAGCCCTGGCACCAGTGACAATGCCCAGCATGACTTCTGGACACGGTGCCTTAAAGGTTACCCGGGCCATAAATGATTTAGTAAGCCCAAGGCACAACACAGTTTATTCCTTCGTTCTCTTATCCGAGATCGGTTCTCCCATATCTTTGTAGACAAGAAGAGCTTCTCCATAAATATAGCAATTTATTTTCCAATCAACAACTCATTCTGAAGGAAATTCATTATTTGGACCACAATGAAAACCCAATATCTCTCATGTTATGTTACTCATTGGCCCAGATGAATTACAATAAAATTACAAAATAATATGTATGTAAGGAGAGCTTATGTCGCACCGTACGTAGCCAACCATGCTAATGGGATGTGCGGGGGAAACAAAAAAAACTAAAACACACACAAAAAACAATAATTTGTAGTGACTGTTAATATCTCGTGGAAATCTCGCTGGTCATTTCGGCAAGGTCATGACACCTATTTAAAAGAAAAGCGCCAGTCAGATGACGCGGTTATCCTGACTTCTGAGAAATGAGCGCGTACCTCAAAGACGGTCTTGGCAGCGTAGCCCTGCACGTCGTCGCGGTTCGTGACGATCTGGATGACGCGGTACCACACTTCTTCGCTCACGTAGTCGCCTGCGATGCGGATGAGGTTGAGTATGGTGTCCACGTACCACGTGTAATCCACCGCGTACCGCTCCGCCAAGATCGCCACCTTCAGCACCTGCACGCGGGGAGGCGGGGGTCACACGACAGCCGCCACCCATCGTTGGCAACAGCTTTGTTGTCGTCACCATCGTGAATGAAGCATCAGGAATAGCAAAGCCACACCAGCTCTCTCCACGAAGCCCTCTTGTCAGAGGCAGCAGACCTCTACATTGGCATTTAAGCCCCTTAACGTATTGCCAATATTATCGTTACCACCACGACAAACATTAGGAAAATTATTTGGTGACGCTGCTGCATTGGCAGTGGTGCAAAAGCAAGAAAAATTAACACTGATAAATGTGTAGATTTTTTTTTACATCACAGATTGTTCAACTCCTCAAACACCAGCACAACCACCATCATCACCCACACTGGTGACCAATACAACAGCCACTGCTACAACGATTACAATTAACACGACAGTTCTCATCGTTAGTGCGAATATTATCTCAATTGCAACCATCGACAATACACGCCGCCCGCCCCGTACCCTGCAAGCTTGCAGCCGCGGTAGAGTACGACTCGGGTTTGTACTGGGCTTGGTTAAAGTTAATCGATGTGCAAGCACGATGTGCCAGCACATCGATTAACACAATCCTGAAAGATATTCGCGGCATTCATTTATCAACTGAACTGGAAGCAGGCAATGACAAACGAGCATTGTCTGAACAAGGGTAACACGTCAGACTGGGCGAGTTTTAATTTACACCGACTTGGCCCTAATGAAAACCTTGATGATACCACTTAAAACAAAGCGAATAGTTTACACGGGACTGCTGGCATCGGTATATGCCGACCAGCATCTATTACGAAAAAACTATGAACGAAACTATTTTTTATTTTACCAGGTAAGACCCACTGAGCTACGTGGCTCTTTTTCAGAAGCGACCTGGCCACAAATGATAGCCCAACGAAGTGGCTTATCGCGTGGAAATTTATCGCAGCCAAATACTCTGAACGCACGTTTCTAAATGTGGAGGGACAAACCGGAGGACCTGGAGAAAAATCCTCACGACCACGAGAAGAACATGCAAACTCCAAATCTACAGCAGGCGACAGAGTCGGAATCGAACCCACAGCCCTCCTGTATCAGGCGAGGTAGTTAACATCTCCGAGCCACCGTGTGCACAACACTTGAGGTGTGGGCAAGCACCCCTTCACGTTGGGCAAGGTGTGTTAGAATGCTGGTGTAATGCACGGGATACAGGCTCTCATTTCTTACAAAATGAGGAGAGGGAAAATGCTGTCCAAGTTCTGGTGGCACCGTGTAAAAAAGTGCATAAGATGTTAAAGGTGCATAGGTTAGGTATAACCAGACCCAATCACAATTCAATCTGATCAGATCCAAATCCAATTTACAGATGATTGGATTTCTTTGGTTAATGGCCGAATCTCATTGATGGTGATTGGATTATAACTGTTACAGAAATGCTACATTACCCAATAATGTATTTACACACTGAAAAAGTGAATACATTTAAATTCCTTTAAAACACTTTGTTATGGTACATCGGAGAATAATGAGTAGCGTGCATAAAGCCTTGAGCACATTGGCTTAAACACAAATTACACTCTGCTGATTTAAATATTGTTACACACTTGTTTACCCAGAAAAGCCCCACTGAATCTCAACTGTCTTTCACGAGGGTCCTGTAAAGTTTTGCAGTATCAATGACGATTTAAGTAATTTGGGAGAAAAATGTTACAATTCGGAAAAATGTAGACCAATGTGCCAGCACAAGAATGGACTATTCACGGGATACGGAACATCCACTGTGAACCAAACTACGCCTACGTTACGGTCAAAACACATGTGGTACTATTAACCAGGGCAGCCTGCTGGACTTGAACCACGGACCTCTGCAATGAGCAGCTAACGTGCCAACACTGGGCCCCGTCACCGGTAGCGCGGCGGTCAACGCGCTGCGTTACAAACCCGGAGACCCGAGTTAGATTCCTGCTCACGGCCAACAATCGTGACGAATATCCGAACCAATAATTAATGGGTCTCCCTTAGGTCGACTCGGCTTCAAATGAGCACCTGGTGCGATGTGTAAACATTGGCACTCGGGAGACAAAACGCGGCCGGGCGTGGTGCTGGCCACCCACCCCCTTAGTGTGCCGTCCCGGCTTTCATAGGTGCTACTCGCTGACAGCACTTACCCCAACAGTCTAGTAAGGCTACACGAGTCTATTAACCAGGACAGCCGGCTGGATTTGAACCGCGGTCATTTGCAACGAGCAGCTGACGCGCCAACACTGGGCCCTGTCGCCGCCCAAAATATATAAATCAGAATCTGTATTTATACTGAAGGAATCCGTTGAACTATAAAGCTCTTTTTCACAGATGTCCAGTCGGGGCGGGTAAGAACGATAGCTGTGCAAAGTACAAAGGTAAACAAAATCACCCCAATACACACACACCAATACAACTAAACCAGCCCCATCCTAACAGGTAAAGCCCACTGAGGTATTCACATATTTTTCAGAAGCGACCTGGCCACATATGAGAGTGAGCGACGGAGCAGATAAGTACACGGACACAAATGAGTTTTTACACACCATCTCCTCCCGGATCGAGTAGTCGGCTGTCTCCAGGTAGTTGAGCATTTCGGAGGTGATCTCCTGTGCATTGCTACGGTCGCACATGGCGTAGAGCAGGTCCACGGCTCGCTGGCGGACGCTCACATCCCTCTCGGTCTGCTCCATCACCACGCAGGGCAGCAAAGGGGCATTGCGGAGATTTGATTTTGACATGTCAGAGAAGCGAGAGAATGTTACAATATTTTTTTACTTAATGCGGAACAACAAAGTCAGCAGTTTTTTCTTTTAATTTAAGGGAATTAAGCAGCAAACCGATCTATCGTTTCGGATAATTTAACTTAAACTGAGCAGACAAATCAGTGGTGGGGAGGGTTTCTGTTTTTGACAGGTGCAGCACTGACCCTGTGTGTCGGCATTGATTTCAAGACAAGTATGGACCAGTGTACAAGAGAATTTGCATTAGCGACGCTTTTTTTACATTCTCTAAAATGTTTAAAATATTCTAGCGAAGCAATTACATTCATGAGGAGCACAAATGTAAAATTTCGAGCAATTTTTTATTAACCGTGTGGTCAGTCTTCTGTATTTATTCCCTCCTCATCAGTCTCGCTCGCTATTATAAGTCTTCCGAAATTCTTCCGCCATGCAACTAATTGAATTATTTGTTACACGGGAAAACGCGTGCAGCCAGTTAGCCGGTGAGTTGTTTTGCTGGCACCAGCCCGCAGCAGTCACTAACATTAGTTATTAATTGTTTAAAAATTTTATTTTCTATTTTACCAGATAAGACTCACTTAGCTATACAGCTCTTTTTCAGAAGCGACCTGGCCACAAATGATAGCCCAATGAAGTTGCTCATCACATGGATATTTATAGCAGTCAAATACTCTACACCAGTGCTGCTTATAACCTTGACTACAGCCTGCACCACCCGTTGGTTCTCACAAAGGACATCTCGCACCCCAAGGGGGTGGCGTGCACCCCAGCTTAAGAACCACTGCTCTAAAAGCATGTCAATTCTACATCTGGTGAGAAAAACCAGAGGAACCGGACGAGCCCACGGGGAGAGACATACGCTAACTCTAAATATACCTCAGGTGTCAGGGTCGGGATCGAACCCACAATCTCCTGTATACCGGGCGAAGTAGTTAGCATTCACCACTGCGGCACCCTTATTGGCCAGGAAACTCAAGGCACAGATGATTTGTAACGGCAGCACGATGACGGAGGAGCAAGCACGTACCTTGAGGGCATTGATGACGGTTTCCTGGTGCTTCTTGACCGCCTCGTGCGAGAACTCCGACGATGCCAGCAGGCACATGCTCTCCAGGGCCAAGTAGCGCAGGTTCGTCTCGCGGTGCTGGAGGAACTGGCCCAGTTGGTTGCAGGCGCGCACCAGCAAATTTGGTTCGCTGGAGAGAGATGCCACCAATTACACCGGTGATCACTGTACCGTAATCACTCATCAGTAGCCGCATCACTGTCATCGTCGTCGTCGTCATCATTATCACAACACCCTCATCGTAAAATAATGCAGATGTGATATGTTGTGCAATAATGCAACAACCCGTTAAAATAGAACCAGAATATTTATTTATCCTGGAGAAATCCGATGAGCTATGAAGCTCTTTTTCACAGATGTCTAGTAAGGTGGATTAGAACATTACAATGACAAACAAAACAAAACAAAAATCACAAAAACTAAATAAAACTACTATAATTTTACCAGGTAAAGCCCATTGAGCTATTAGTTATTTTCAGAAGTGACCTCGCCATCACGAATGTCAGCTCAACGAAGCGTAAATAGAACGCCATTTTTGCCACGGAGACCCGTGGGTGTGGAGCGAATCAATCAAGACGCTTCCATCATAAAATTGAGCAAAACCTGGGCCCCACCCGATTGGCCACGTTGACAAGAGGGGAGGAGGAAGGGGGCCCCCCCCACACCTGTCGTGATGAATGATGAGGTTGATGGCCTCAAAGAGCACGGCGTTCTTGGCATTTGAGTGCTGCACTTTCTTCGACTTCGGCGGCTCCTGCGCCTTGTTGAGGATGTTCTCCAGGCACTCGCTCAGACGCCCGCGCACTGCCGGGTCCTCTGTCACGCAGTAGGCGGGCACGCGGGGGAGAATGCAGGCGCACACGTGGGTGTGCGTGTGTGTGCGTGCACAGAAAAGTACACGTGAATAGGAGTGCACAACCAAAGCGTTCATGATGAACTACGAAGGCATCGATTAAATACAGCGAGGCAGAATGGCACTGTAAAGAATAAGGAGATGTCTCGCTGTGTCCTACCGTGGGGCACTGGGACGTACCAGCCCGCACTAAATGAATTACCATGTCAGGCAAACGTAATGTACCGAAAGCATCATGCATGACATGCTTATTGCGACATAATATTCACCGTGACAATGTGTGATTTGGAGAACCATGATGCACAGGCAGACGGCTCCCTGCCATTCATAAATATTTTTTTTGCGATAAGCCACGTAACGATGTGGCCAACTTTGTACCATCAAGGCACTCCACCACCCCACACATTGCCAAGCAAATTAGTCGATTGTAAACGCTCTTCGCAAACGATTCTCCGGGGAAAACCCTCGTGTTACGCGTGTTATGGGAGCGCCGTGTCACCTGTGGACAACATCGCGGCGTAGCCATCCAAAGTGACCGACGTACCGGGTGGTGGGTAGCACTGCAGCAGGCGCAGAAGCTTCACAGAGAGCCACGGCGCTGGCACAAAATAGTACGTGTAGTCCTGCAGATCTGTGTAAGAGGATGTCACGATCTGCTCCACCCACAATGCCACACACACACACAGAGGCCGTCACTTTTCTGGACAGACTATAAAAGCAAGTGTTATAAATAGTAAGTCATTATTCAAGGTGAAGTGTGTGGTAATGTATAACAGCACAACACAACCATAACACCACCACCACAGTGGCAATATGTTAACTATCTCGCCTGGTCGTGGGTTTGATCCTGGCCCTGACTTCCTCTATATTTGGAGTTTGCGTGTCTCTCTTTCTCACTGTGTTTGCTTGTATATTTCTCCGGGTCCTCGGGTTTTCCCCTCCACATTCAGAAACATGCACTTAGAGTATTAGCTGGAATAAATTTCCACGTGATAAGTCACCTCGTTGAGCTATTATTTGTGGCCAGGTGGCTTCTGAAAAAAGGTGTGAAATAGCTCAGTGGGCCTTGACCGGTAAAACAAAAGGTTGAGTTTAGCTGCCTCTGAATGCATAAATGACGTGTTCCTGACCACATCACAAAACCATCTGTATTATTTATTTTAAGTTACAGCAGAATACATGCCAGGTTCATCTATCAATTGGCAATTGGGGATGCGCGACCAGAAACTGATCGCAGGATTTGCAAGATCGTAGTGTGGTGTACACGCTGACGACATTATTGCAAAACACTCACTTGCAGACAAATACCGCCAACTTTACTCAGCCAACCACAGTAACAAGCACTCGACAACAAATACCAAACACACATCAACTCCTCCTGTAAAACTGCTTTCCCCAGTGCTAATAACGACACGGAGGCAGAGAGGTTATCACACTTGTGCTCTGAACCTGGCGACCCGAGTTCGATTCCTGCCCACTGCTAATACGAGTGCTGAGCGGTATATGAACCGGTCCTCATTACCACCCACTGCTCCCCGCTCCACCGGTGGAGGGGGACGCTCCCACCGCCCCCCCCCACCTCTAGCCAGCCTTCATCAACCCGCAATGGCCTGCGTGGTGAAGTATGCTAAAACAAGCCCCACAACGAACGTAGCACAGAGAAGCCTTCATCCATCAGCGGACTGGCAAAGGGCTGTGAATTATTTATTAACAATGACACCGCACCAAGAAATTTTGAGTTTAAAGTGGAGCCGACGTAGGAAAGACGACTATAGTAATTTCAAATACCAATTGCCATTAGCGTTGTAGGAAAGTACATCGATCGCTACACCACGGTGCACCCACATGGCATTTATTGATTGTAGCGGCAATGCTGTGTGCCAGCACGACACACGTTCGCCACTTTTGTCCCGCCAATAACAACGCTCGCTTGCAACCAACCACACCATTGTACTAACATTGAGGCCCGGGGCAAGGTTTTGGAGGGCACCAAGTCAAGATCGTAACGACATGGGTGGGGTTTCATTTTCTTGGTTCTTTCGGTAAAGTCACGTAGAAGGGAGATAATAAAATAATATAAATATAAAACAATAAAAATTCTCACGACGTTTCGACTGCAACACAAGCAATCATCATTAGGTGCGAAATCCACAGCAAGAAATTTTGAAAAAAGTGGCGTTTTTTCCTGAAACGTCGTGAGAATTTTTATTGTTTTATATTTATATTATTTCCCTTCTATGTGACTTTACCGAAAGAACCAAGAATATGAATCCCTTCAGTCACGAAAGCTTTAAATCAAAAGACATGGGTGGGGTTTAGCACGAATCGCACATGGGCAGCCACATGTTGTTTCCGCGCCCGTGTTTTTGAGCGAGGACAACGGCCGAGGGGGAGAGGGGGGCAAGTGTGTGCACACGCACCCTGCTGAGTCGCGAGACGGCGAGCGAGACGCTGCCCTTGTACTCCTCCGGGTTCTTCTGGGCCAGCGCTGTTATGAGACTCGTGGCTGCAGTCACCACCCCCTGAAGAGAAACGACACATTAACAAAGTGTTGCGCACTGAACAAATAGCAAGTTGTCGCACTCTGTCAAGCCCACGCAACTACCTCGCCTGGGATACAGGAGATCGTGGGTTCGATATCGACCCTGACGATGGCTGTATTTTTGGAGTTTGCGTGTTCTGTCTCCCTGTGGTCGTGTGGGTTTTTCTCCGGGTCCTCCGGCTCTTTCTTCCACATTTAGAAACAAGCGTTCATTTTACCAAGTAAGGCCCTCTGAGCTACGTAGCTCTTTTTCATAAGCGACCTGGCCACAAATGAAAGCCCAACGAAGTGGCTTATCACGTGGAAATGTATTGCGGATAAATATTCCAAAAGGCATGTTTCTAAATGTGGAGGGAAAAACTGGAGGACCCGGAGAAAAATCCACGCAACCACGGGGAGAACTTGCAAGCTCCAAATATACAGGCATTGTCATGGTCGGGATCGAACGCACAACCTCCTGTATACCAGGCAAGGTAGTTAACATCTCGCCGCCATGGCACCCTAGATAAGGTAGCCCCCCCCCCCCACCAAGCATACCGCATTTATCAGTCACCAAACCACATAAACATTATCAGCATCATCATGGCAGGCAGCATCCACACAAACGATTACATTTTTCAAACGCGCACACAAAAATATAATGTCCGTGGTGTGCATCAGCGTGAGAAGGAGGGCGAGCCGGGGTCTAGTACCATGTGTTGGTCGTTTAACAGGTGGATAACCCGCGATGTCCAGTCTCCCACGGGGATCACGTCCGGCGAGGTGCGGTAAAGCCGCAGCAAGCACAGTGCGGCGCTCTGCTTCACGCTGTCCATTGTGTCTCTGTTTCACACCGCCGTACGTGCAAACAAATAAACGCACGCGTGCAAGTTGCGGTGCCATCAACTTTAAAACCAGAGTCAACCGCTGCAAACGGAGGTATTGCAAAACGATGAACGAACTCTCTCCTGAAGCCCTCTCCTCGTGGCTAGCAGACCCCGATGTTGGCATTCAGCTGCTGAACTTATTGGTGCCATCGTGCGCAAGAATATAATAGGATCACAATCCTGGCACAGTGGGATTGGACACTGCGATAACCACTGAACCATCACTCCTCCAGGATTCAGTGGGCTACAGGGTGGCACTGGGCCCGATTCGAAGATTCCCGGACTCGGGCACCTTAAACCGTGTGAAGTTTGTAAGTCCTCCTCTTGTTCTGCCATGGTATTGCTCAAGCTTCTCCTGTTCACTCTTAAAGCTCAAGGGCCCCACACGGTGAAGAGATGTTAACTACCTCGCCTGGTAGACAGGAGGTTGTAGGTTTGATCCCGACCCTGACACCTGTATATTTGTAATTTGCATGTCCTATCCCCATGGTCGCGTGGATTTTCCTCCAGGTCCTGCGGTTTTTCCCTCTACATTTAGAATCGACATCACACGGTCAGAGTATCTGGCTGCTGCTATAAATTTCCACGTGATAAGCCACTTCGTTGGGCTATCATTAGTGGCCAGGTCGCTTCTGAAAAGGAGCTATGTAGCTCTGTGGGCCTTACCTGGTAAAACAAAAATAGCTTAAATAGTTTCATAATATGCGAGCACTCTCAAGACATCCCAATGCTGTTAATGTACCGGTAAATTAGTCAATTGGGATGAATACAGCAGCAGCAGGAGCAAAAACATCGCCTGCCTACTGCGACAACTTGGCGGAATTCTCCTGAAAATAAAGTCTAGCGATTCGGCGAGGCTTTCCTGTGTAAGCAAGCGTAATAACAATAATAGATTATAGAAACTAACTCTTCTTAAGACTTGCCTTCCCATTAAAACAAAAATTTAAGGGAGAAAAAAACTGCTCCTTTACTTTTTATTTCATAAACTTTGTTTTCTTACGCTATTCGTTGCACATGCTTGCAATCTACTTGCTCAGTCTGTGTTAGCCGCTGAGGTCAGGACAAGTTTCATATGCCCCCCCCACCCGTACCATTCCGCTGTGCAATGTGCACCGACGCCTATTTTAAATTGCGAGCGATTTTGGCACGTAATATAAAGATCGATCGATCGAAAAAACGCCACGCACACATGCAAGCGTGAAAAAACAGGGCGGGACGTACGAAGCGATGAGGAGCTTCGGGACCTCAGACGCCAGCGCCTCGGCCATCTCCCGACTGCCCACATTGGCGATGCAGTGCAGGGCAAGGTTGATGAAGATGGGGTTGCGGCTCGACAGGTCGTTGCGGATGGCATTGCTGATGAGCCTGATCAGCTCGCTGTTGGAGTTGACAAGCACCGAGATGAACAGGTAGCCCTGTCCAGGAAAATGAGGAAGAGATGCGAAATCCTCACGCGAGCACGAACCAAAGGATTTGCACGCGTACACACGAGCGCACGTTGCAACACGCACGCCTACGCGGCGACTCCCCCGCTTGACGCAACAGATGCGTTCCTGAAAATGCCAAGTCAAGCTAAATCGTGCAAAGTGAGAAATTACTGCATGTTTACACATTACAGGGCATGAATAAATAATAAAGCAATGAAAATATGAACCAAGTTTGCACGATAAAATTAGCATGCACTCATCTTATGGCGGGACAGAGAACCGAGATGAGGGTATGCCGCCATGCACTCTATCATTCAACGTACTGTATCATTTCGTTTAGCCGTGCAGCTAAAGAAAAATTAACCCGTAAAAACAAAGTTTTTCACTATAAATCCTTTATATGCGTGCCAGCCCACATTGGTCTTTGAAACGGGCGGCTAGAGTCCTCTCTTCCTTTGGCTTGAGATGGCTGCCATCTATGGGTCAGATGATTGCCTGCCACCATTAAGCAATTGGTAATTAAATATATATATTTTTCCTAAAATGTTGAAAATTTTGGAAAAAAATTTTCACGAAAATAAATTGTCACGCACGAGTCTGTGTGCAAAATGTCAGCTCGATTGGATCACGGGAAGTGGGTAAAAAAACGACCGAAAGATTTGCACGGTCGTAAGCGCGCAAGCAAGCAAGCAAGTGAACTTAATATAAAGGATTTAAAAATTCTTCGTCATCGACCGCTCAGAAACAGTGTTATAACGGGCAAAATTCCACATTATAATGGCACGCGTTCCCCGTTGTGCGAAAAGTGTTACCTCATTAAAAAGAACTGCATCGTCAAGAAAACGCGGTGTGTGAACACGCGTTAAGCGAGAACTTACCGTACATGTGTACACCCTGGTACGCATGTTTAAGAAACAGCGCGTGTGTGGGTGCACGCATTAACGTGTGTACATATTACTGTTGGGCTGTGAAAATATGTTCGAAGAATTGCAATAATTTGTGAAAAGTCACGCTGAAAGACATTTTTAAATGACGGACATTGGGCAGTTACGGCTGCTTGCGCGTCCAACAGCTTCGTGTGACCACAGCGCAATGATACTAACGGTGCCGCTGTATCTGCCGATGATCTTTATGACGATGATGCTCTTGACACCTGCTGTTGAGCAGAGGCATGAAGTCCCACCCATCCACGTGTATGTGTGTTAAGCATGGGTGTAGTGCGTAGCGCATCGCTCTATGAACCCGGCGACCTGCGCTCGATTTCCGCTCAAGACCAAAAACAGTGGCGAAAATGTTTTCAGCGGACAAACGTTCCTAGCCACCGTCGGGCATGATTAAGCTGGAGTTCGAATCCCGCTCACGATGGCGAAGCCATCGACATTGAGGCAGTGCCGTTACCGTGTGCGCAAATGCCACTTACAATCTGTTTTTCAGTGTATTTGTTGGAGCTGAGCAGATTGACAGCCTCCATGTGCCCGAAGTCAATGTCATGGCCCAGAAGAAAAATAAACAGCAGCTTGCACACATACTTCTTCTTGCTGTATCCATCCAACGCCTTGTCACCTACAAGCACACGGATATAGAGGAATGGACACGCATGAAAAAACATAGGATGCAGTTTTCCTATGTGGTCAAGTGTACATATATATTTGTTTAAAAAGAGTTGCCAAGCACAGGGCCAAAGACGACAGTCAAGCGGCCAGCAACAAACGGCACCGTGAAGGCGAAGAACACAAATGGGAACTCTCGCGGATGAGAGTCTCACCCCGCGTTAGATAACGGTCCACGGAAGGAGGTATCACAGAACTGCTTCCGAGTGCTCTCTTACCTACGAGGGGGCAGCACTATCCAACCCAGCATGCTACAGAGAGCAGTGTTCATCGCATGATAGAACTTCGAATTTGTTTTGTTATTAACAAAAGCTGGAATTTAGATGAATTCAATGCTAAACCGCATTTTATTAGGTTTTTGTGTGTGAAGACATTGGTTATCAGGGGCACAATAAACAACATTACAGGCAGTTTCCTGGAATGAAACCCCGGATATTAGGTGCCAGCTCAGCACTCTATCTTCCGAGTCACCCGGCCACTTTTTTTTTAAGCGAGCTTGAAGGGCATTGCGCAACATATTTTCTTGGTACGTGGTCGTGCAAAACACAGAGCGGCTAAAACAATAAAAACACCACTTCCCAATTACGCAGGAAGAGTGATGCTGACATCGCTGCTGGTTGTGACGCAAGCCCAAGTAACTTGCTGCTTTTGCAGGAAAAGCATTAAGCGTGCAAACCCGCATCCCTTGCCGCCAAAATCAGAGCTCTCTTCTCTCCTGGGTCACCTGCTCAAGATGTGTTTTGCGTGTATATATACACACACAAGGTTGGTATGAAAATAGCTCTGGACTGTTGATTAACCCATCAAATCTTCAAGCATAATTTTAAACACCCCAACTAGTTTTTTCAGTCTCGAACACTGTAACAACCTAAAAAACACGTCGCTTAAACTTTAAGATTCAACCCCAAAAACTGTACGGTGTTGTTTTAATTAGGTTGCAGAATACTGACGTAGAGCTATGCAGTCAGTAGTACACGTTTAGTTTTCCCCTCCGCACACTGGAATCCATAAACAAACGCCAAGAGGCCGCCGCTGTAACAACCAGAATAACAGGACTCCCACTTGGTGAACGCAGCACCTCACGACGTCCGTGCCCGGCGCACCTAAACATCAGGTGGCCCGTGACCTTTAACTCTTTTAAAAGCCCATGTGCGTCTCTTGACAATGACGTTGCCGATTTACATTTGGTTCCCCAATAATCCATGCGCTCCGCTCGGCCCCCCGCTCCGACCCACAAATACGAGGGAGACATCACCACAGCGATATACTACTCCACTGCTTTGGTTGTCTGGGCCTGACCACCTAAATATGAAATCGTAGTTGTTGCTCTGCATCTAACATCAGCAGCAGTACGGAAGTAGAAGTGCAATTCTGACCGCTCATTTCTCAATGCTTTTGCACGTAAACTTTTCAGCTTTTGTTCCAATTTCTTTGCCGTTAGTATTTCAATCCTTACAGCTGCAGTACGCAGGCAGATGGTACACTCATCATCTTCACTAGCCACCATTGACACACTGCTGGAGGAGGACTCACCCAAAGCGGCTGTCGTGTATCCTGTTCGGTCCCACTACGCAACAATCCACCCAACTGCGGCACACGATCCGATTTCAATCGCTCAGAATTTGAACGAGCCTAGGTATATTGAACCAAAACTGAACCTTCCGAGTGAAACTCACTGCTAACGGGACGGTAAAAAGCCACGCCGAAAGCATGGAGTCAAACTCGCAACTAACTGACGTGCATGGTGAACTGCCATGCAGAAAGGTTGCTTCCGAGTACTCGCATGGCATTATGAAGGGCGTGTGCGAAGAGTGTAACAGATATGTAGGACAGGAAAGATATTTCAAAGGCAGCTATAATACATTGTTAATATGGTTTTGTATCAAGCATAACAGATGTCACCAACAAAATTGACATGAATCCCTGAATGCTTTCCTGCCACTGGTGCACGAGATACTTTCTTGTTGGTTTTTCAGCTTTGTAAAAGCTTACAAAAATGGGGGCAAAGCACAATGTGTTTTTTTATGAACTTTTATCTCCGCTGAAGAGGCACACTTCCAAGTTGCAGCCAAAAATGTTGACAGGCCGAGAACAAATTACGAATTAATATAGGTTCTCTCCCCTTAGGCCATGCCGAATATGTCTGCAGTGGAGGACTGGCTAATATAAACACCACCCCCCTGGGCACAAATAACAACACGAGGCAATTATGGCTATAAGGTACTGAAGAGACATAATAAAGAAAAACACCATTGCCACCACCTCATCTATTGGTGATGGCTGTCACAAGGCTGAGTGCAGAATACAACAAAAATTTTGTGGTGTCAGCTTGGATAAGCAAAATATACTGGGATTACAAAATATTTTTGCCGTTTAAAGACACTTCGTTGTTAAAACAATTATCATTCGTTTCTGGTCTGCATGCATTTTCTCTTGCTATTAACTTGTCTCCAGAAAAAAGTGCATAATTTAGATATCGTTTTGAACTAACATAGTTAAAAGCTTTGTGTTCCAGGCTGCCAGACGCGTGCATGAAGCTTTATTAAATGAGAAAAAAGCATGTAATAACGTTACGAGCGATATATCAAAGTCTGGTGGTTTAGAGACAAGGCTGACAGCATTGTACATGCAATGTGGTGGTCACATGACATGCATGCAAAGCATGATGGGAGTGCCTTCCTGCTGTTTTGTCAGCATCCATGTGTTGTTATTTAAATGTTTCCAGTCCGCACGCACGTTCCTGTTGTGATGGGGTTTTATATTTATTTATAGAAAGCTTTGGATTTGTGCTGAGGGAGGGGAGGGGGGGTCGGGGTCCCCAAAGTGTAAAGATAATCCCTCTGCATATATATGCTCGCAGGCCATAGGGCAGCAGTCAACAAAGCCGACTCCACTGATGAGGCCTAATGATGATGAAACTGGTCTACAGCCGTCTCCGTTTCACTGCTGCCCGTCCCATTCATCAGCGCCTCAATAACGTCCCTCGTCATCGCTTGAAGTCACGTAAGGCCCTTTTGGACCCATGCGCTTAACCTTCAAAAATGTGAATTCAACCCCGATGAAGCTTGGAGAGCTGAATGGAGTTCAAATGAACTCGCAAACAAACACCTTGTGGAAGACCCAGAGCAGATTATCACTGGGTTTGGTCTTCCACGAAGCTCACGGTCCAGCCTAAATTGCATCCAATGCACGGCAGATGCAGATGCCTGATGCACAAATGGAAAGTTAAAAACTTTCCAGTAGTGTGTGACTGTGGTCATCCAGAACAGACCGTACAACGTATGTAACGACAAAATGCCCAATCCACAAATAGGAAGGGGACATCACTGCGATAACATTCCGCTGCTCCTGATGCGGTTATCTGGCTTGGCCACTTAAAAATATTAAAATGTAGTAGTTGTTGCTCTGCATCTACGTCAGCAGCCATATGGAAGAAGAAAACGAAGACTTGCTGCCTGTTAAGATGGCCACACTTAAAACACCAGGTTGTTTTGAGTTGATGGCTTAAACAACAATAAACAGAAATTAAGCTACCGAGCAGGGGAGCGCAGACGAGCTTAAGAGTGTTGTTCGTGCGATGTGACCGAGTCGCATTGCACGTGACATGGACGCAAGGCACGACAGGAGTTGCGCCTACCTGCTGTTTGCGAGCAGCACACCTTTGCGCGTCATGGCATCATGGCACCTTACCGATGCGATGTGAAGCAACAGTTTGACGTCACTTCGACAGTCGCGTACATTTTTAAAGAAATACAACTTTGGAAACTTCTAAAATCAAACCTCATAGCTTCTCTACCCGAGCCGAGTCGGGAACCTCACACATGCCGAGGGAATGCAGTAGGCAGCGTACACACGTCATAAAACACCAATGGCCATGCTGCGTGTAGGAATGTACGACCAACTTCTTTCGCACCGTGCACAGCCAACCGTGCTCATCCGAGGTGCGGGAACACATCATGCTCACCACATTATGAGTGATGGTATGATTGTGGGGACTAATAAAACATTTTGGTGGAGTGAGGACTACAAATCAGCGGCGGCCTTTTTGTATGTTGTCTACAGATTTGACGAGGCAGACTTGTAATTAGCAGAGTCCATACTCTTTGGTTCTTTCGGTAAAGTCACGTAGTTAGAAATAAAATAAAATAAAACAAATCACGACGTTTCGATCGCAACACAAGCCGTCGTCGTCATCAGGCGACCGCTTGTGTTGCGATCGAAAAGTCGTGATTTTTTTTATTTTATTTCTACCCACGTGGCTTTACCGAAAGAACCAAAGAGTATGGATTCCTGCAGTCACGAAAGCTTCAAATCAAGAATTAGCAGTCTTTAAGCGATTACAATTGAAAGGCTTGGAGCAGATAAGGCGGCAGAGTTCGCAGACACATTAAAGGAGATGCAGTTAACGTCTTACACAGTTCACGCTCCCTCGTCGCATGGATTTTTCTCCAAGTCCTCCGGTTTTTCTTGGGAATAATTTGCAAATAAAGCCCTTTTTCCTCATTAGTAAGCACCTTTGCCTGTGCTGGCTCACCGATGACACACCGGAGGATCAAGGTGACGCCATTTAACTTGAGACTTACAAAATTGCTCGGAGATATCGCCAATTTGTAAACATTTTATACAGATCAGCAGCAACGCCAGGGGGGGGTCTTAGGAAAGTGACGAAACTCACCTTTGAATTTGGAGCGAATATTAGCAAGCTCCTTATTAATCCTCTTGATCTCGGCTTCTTTGCTTTTGCCTGCATGAAAAAATGAACAGAGGGCACAGGAGCACACACGGAGAAAACGACAAACATGATTAAAACCTTAATTTCGGTGGGCCACATTACTTAACTCTGACATGCCCGACCTGAGTCAGCAGTGACAGAGTCCTTGAGACACGGCGGGTTTTTTTGTATTCACGTTAATCAAGCAAATGTTAGGGTAACACTGCATCCTCCACACAACAGTTTGAAAGCGAAGCCAAGTCGACAACGTTTTAAATCTTGAACATTGCGTTCCGTGTAATGAAGCATTTCAAATATACCAACTGTTTTTCACATGGTGAACGCACGACAACGGCAAGGAATGATTGCACGACATTACGCTACGGTCCTGCATCCCGCAACACTGCTTGTCCAGACAGCGACGTTTGCGCTCAGCAACATACGAAACGGTTCGTGAAATCAAATGCATCTCTTACCTGCATTGATCAATGGGGTGGGGTAGAGAATGTAATGAAGAGTTCAAGAAAATGTGTGGATAAGAAATGCTGCCTCCGAACGTGCGAAACAAGAATGGAATTGCAACCAAATTCGAGTCCGGATTGGTTGTGGATATTAGCCGACAATCAGCAGGATCCAGAAATGAAATCGGATCAGATGCCGACCTGAATTAGATAACGGGAGAAATCAGCATGATAACTTTATATCCCTGATTGTAGTATATATATAAAATGAATGTTTGCAATTTTTGATTTCTGAAAAAATAACCACGGTTTACTGCGAAAAGGTACTAAAGTTATTATAATGCATTCATAATATACATATGGGAATATTCATATACGAAACAAGTAAATATGAGAACAGTAGTCTCAAGACTCTGTGTGGTAGCTTTTCTGGATAACGGGTATATTTACATAGCGTATATATTTACCAAGCGTATATATTTACATAGCGTATATAAATGTACCACTGAAGAAAAATCCCTGGGAATTAACAACGATCAACCCAATTTTATGTTACGGATGTCAGTTTAGTTCTCAGCGAAACAGGCATCAACAGAACCCTCAAAAATGTATAGTAATGTTCTTGATTGCAAGGCCAACAGGCGCTGGTGGCCTTTAGTGCAGCACCCGACAAACACATAAAATGTGAAAACACCTCCCCACCCCCATTATCGTGCTGCTGTCAAACCCCAATGCCTTCAAATGTGTGGTGGCCCTCACACTGATGATTCTTATCGGCGAAAGTGGCACCCCCCTCTGAACATTAGTGAAGAACAGCGTTGTAAAGGTACCTTCATTCTATTCATCTGTGTTTACATTAGTGATTTACGTCTGCACAGTCAGCAATGATAGTACGTGTCCCGAGGGCTTGGACCTCCAAGAGACTCGGCACATGCACTTCAGAGCTGCGTTGCTAAGTAGCGGGTGCACTAGCGCGTCATCGTGTAGCACACATTCATGTGGCTACTGCACGTCAGCCTTATCGTCTCCTACAAGAAGACAATGCTATGTTCAGTCCCAGGTATATACATACTGTATGTTACATATAGCAATGATACCAGGAAAAAAAATACTTATGCGGCAATAATTTATCGTCCATTATTTTTCAGAAAGAACAAAACATTTCTACGGGTTTATTGTCTGATATTTTAGCAAGAAAACCCATGCTTATGCATCATAAGTTTTACACTTTATAACCTGTGTATATATGTTTGTTATTTTCTGACCGAAAACTATTATCAGGAGGTTTGGATGATAAAATGTGGCCAAGCATCAGCGATTTCCCACCCCCCCTCCCCCGTCAAATATGAAATGGCGGTGCAGCATCGAACGAGCGGACCTGCTGCAAAATGTGTCATTATCGCGTGCGGGAAAAAATTGATGTGAAGAAAATATAAATACAGTACGTGTACTGTACACGGTTATAGATATTGATTACGTGTTATTCTGAAACATGGTTCACTAATATTGAGCATTTAAGAGATAGAGGGTTTGAAACGTTAAGATTTTGCATTGGGGTTCAGCCACCTCACACCCCTCCCTCGTGATCCACTAGCGTACATCATTAATTAGTGGAACGTTAATTAAACATGCATTACAATAGCTGACGTTTCGTTGGGGCTTCAAGTACATTAACTGGAGAGAGGTGGTATTGTAACTTACAACAGTTGAGTAATGTATGCACCATGCTATAATTACAATGCAAGTTTATACGCAAGTGGTGTAATAAATTATATCGCTAAAATAGCGGTGGGATGGTTGCACGTTGGAACGGTTGGTTGGATGTCAACAGAAGGAAGAGCGGCACGCGTCATTTCAGTCAATGCAGGCGAACCAATGACGGCAAGTGATGAAGGAGAAGCTATGCGATGGGCTTGGGGCGGGTCAATGCAGCTCAGTATAAATATAAACGCGAAGTCTATGTCCGTGTGTGTGTGCTAGCACGTGCTCGCTAACAGCACTTGCCCCTATAGTATGTTAAGGCTATATGGGGGATCTTTATTTTTTGTGTGGCTAGCACGTCTGCTACAGCAGAAGTGTAGGGATTCCAACAAGACCTACATCTCTGCTTTATTGACCTGGTCAAGGCCTATGATACCATCAGTAGGCCTGGGCTCTGGGTTGTTATTCGTGCTTTCGGAGTCCCCGACTCTCTGCTCACAATCATTCATGATGGTGAGCAGGCCCGGGTAAAACTATGTGGCCGGGAGTCGGAGCCATTCCCTGTTCACCTTGGGGTGCGACAGGGATGTCCATTATTTAACAACGATTTCGATCACGTAGTTCGTAAAGCCTTCGATGGCTGTACCGGAGAAATTTCCATCTGGTACAGATACAATGGGAGGCTGATCGATGCCCTGGTGCGGTAAAGGGATGGCTCTGTATTGGTCAACAATGTTACGTATGCCGATGATCTGGTGATTGCTGCTCATTCAGAGGAGTTGGAGGCACTGCTGCTGAACCTGGAGCATGCCACTAAGAGGTGGGGCCTTACAATCAGCCCCACAAAAACTAAGCACCTGCCTGGGTATTTTGTAGCATCAGACACTCAACCCCCACAACTCTCAATTGGCAATGGGGCAGTTGTGGAGAGAGTGGAGAGTTTTCCAAACCTGGGCAGTGTGCTCATGACCAGCTCTGGTTTGACAGCAGAGGTCTCACTCCGAATCAGTCGAGCGGCATTATCTTTTCATCGGCTGCGTAACGCTGTGTGGAAGCTACCTGGTCTTTCGCTCCACAAGAAGCTTTGTTTCTGCTGAGCCACAGTTATGCCCTCCCTTCTCTACGCTTGCGAAACATAGACTCCCCAAATGGAACATCTTTGCCAGTTCTAAACGTTTACACTGGCCTGCCTAAAATTCATCCTGGGTTTAACCTGGCTGGATTGTGCGAGGAGTTCACAAATCCTTGAAATATCTGGACAAAGTCCCATCGATGAGCTCCTCTGGAAGACAAGGGTGCGTTGGCTGGGTCATGTAGCCCGCATGCCCAGCCACCACATGCCGAAACAGCTTTTTTTCGGCCAGATAGAGGAGGCTAAATGGGCGCGGCACAGGCTAGATAAGAGATAGAGTGATGTTGTAACAAGAATGATGTGGATCTGAGTGGACTTGCCGATGACTGATACCAAGTGTCAAGATGCTACTGGGCAGTTGGAGGCAGTCGCCCTCCAGCAACAATAAACGGCAGAGGAGCAACGGGTGACAACAACGAGCAGAGCGCCGGGCGGCTAAAACACAGCAAGTTGGCACAGTAGGCGGCACAGGTGGTGCATCGACCAGACATCTCAAATCGACCCATGGCACCTGGGTCTGCCCCGTGATCTCCTGCCAGCGGGTGTTTGACACTTCACGTGGCCTTAACGTGCACATCGCTTGGCACAAGCGCCGTGGGGACGTCACCGCCACTTCGTGGCGAATGGCGGTTGTTGTTGTTGTTAGCATGCTCACAACATGAGTGGAGCGCCGAGCGGCTAAAATGCAGCAAGTTGGCACAGTAGGGGGTACAGCTGGTGCATCTACCAGTCATTTCAATGAGCCAACTAATGGCACCTGGGTCTTCAACACTTCACGTGGCCTCAAAAAGTGCACCTGGCCTGGCACAGGCGCCATGGTGACGTTACCGTCCCTTCGTGGTGAATGGCGGGTATTGGTGCTAGCACACACGATTGGCATGGTTGGCTTCGTACGGTGCGAAAGAAGTTTCAACATACAACAACACAGAGAGCCTCGCCACATTCGCTGTGCATATCAAGAGACAAACAAATGCCAGACCTTTTCATTTCAATGGCTATCCTTGCACACGATGGCAGCAGCCCCAAAGTAATTCAGGAGATGAATGCCAAAGTCGAGGTCTGCTGCTGCTACTGGTCACGACTAGAGGGCTTCAGCAGAGCAAGACAGTTTGTGTCATGTCGCTGTTCTCCTCCTCCGTTGAAGGAACACAACCACAGTGGGTTAACTTTGTGGTCCATAGGTTGTGTTGCATGGCCACAATCACACTACTGTGGCTTGTATCTGTAATGTATCTTTGTGGGTCTCTATGTATCTCCAAGAGTCACTATGTATCTCTATATGGGTTTATACTATACGGTCAATAGTTTGGGTTGCATTGCCACAATCACACTCCTACTGTGGCTGGTCTTTATTGTATCTCTAAGAGTCTGCTGCTGCTGGACATGACGAGGGGGGCTTCAGGGAGAGAGAGTTCGTGTAGCTACACTGGGTTTAACTACACGGTCCACTGTTTGGGTTGCGCTGGCCACTATCTGAACAGTTGTCCAAGGGGTAGCACAAATATGTTTCTGGTGTCAGCGAAGTACAACACCGTCGTAGTGACGACTGCGCCAGTCTCAACGGGACCGCTTGTTACGGCTTAGCGAACCCGGGCCCTGGGAACCACTGCTCAGTCGTTTGCCGCTTGAGTCCACCGATCGGCAGAGAGAGAGAGAGACAGAGGGAGCCGACAAGAGCTTCTGCTCGTGCATTCCAATCCCTCAAATTTCGGAGTGCAGACTGCGGTGGTTGACGAAACGGCCCACATCGTCTGGGATGCGCGGCCACCATCTTTCAATAATCCGCAGGCCAAGGTTAACACCAATACAATGATGTACGTGGCCGGCAGAGCTGCTACCACAATGAGCCCGAAAACTCAAAATTTCGGAAGGGTCCTGCATAGGATTGAGATGGTTTGGTCAACAAAAAACCCAAATTAAATACACTGCACACTTTTAACTACGAATAATGATTTAACATAGTCTGTTTAACACGTAGGCTTTCGCTATCAATATCATCCAAAATATGTTTTTTTGTTAAATCGCGTAAATATAAATGTGTCGTTAAACCCGCCACAGCCAATTAGTAAGGTTTAGTGTCACGTAAAAACAACATGTCGATTCGTCACTAGTACAGCACAACGGTGTGTTGGACAGCAAATCCACAACGTTTACAATCCGAGTACGACGTTTCGCCAGTAATTACAAGTAGCATCATCAGGCAGACAGCCAAATTTGTGGAGAAATCCTCCTCCTGTTTCGTTCCCTAAATAGAGGGAAAGATGTGATGACGTGATTTGTGAGCAGTTCACGTGTGAAGTGGCGGTGGGGCGGAATGAATGAATGCATAGAAATTACAATGGGTAATCCATTGTCGGTTGGGTTATATATATATATGTTTACGTACGTGCTGATGTGTCGTGAAAATAATGTGCAGGTTTTGATTGAAAGCTTTCGTGACTGCAGGGATTAATATTCTTGGTTCTTTCGGTAAAGTCACGTAGAAGGGAAACAATAAAATAATAAAAATATAAAACAATAAAATGATCACGTTTCGATTGCAACACAAGCAATCATCATCAGGTGTGAAAACCACAGCAAGCACATTTTCTTGCTGTGGTTTTCACACTTGATGATCGAAACGTCGTGAAAATTTTATTGTTTAATATCTTTATTATTTTATTGTTTGCCTTCTACGTGACTTTACCGAAAGAACCAAGAATATAAATGTGCAGGTTATTAGTACGCCGTGCCAGTGAGATTACAGGTTGTCGCTCAATCAAGTAACTGGTCCAGGCGCGGCATGACAAGCAAGCTCCACTGCTGCTCAAACTGCACGGGAGCAGAAAATGGATGTTATTAGGAGATTTGAGGGGATCATTATTATACTCTCCGGTTCTTTCGGTAATTATTAGTACCGAGGGGATGATTATGACCACGGTCACACGCCATTCAATTCGGCACAATCAATAATTATAATTGCATGTGCAACAACGCGTCTCGCTCGCTCTCCCCGTCCGCAACGTTGCTGCAACAGCTGTGCAATGCAAATTGTAATCGAACAGTGACTTATTGTTATTATTCGATCCTTGCCGTGCCGTTTATCTCAGCGAGGAGACGATGGGCTCGCGAGGAGCGGTCGTGGCATGCCGGGGTTGGTTTTCATCGCGCGCTGCGCCACGAAGCCGGCGACCTCAGTTCGATTCCAGCTCCCGCTCGCGGGTCAACGCCAGCAGTTTATATACTGGTAGGAACCTCCTGGTTACACCAGCCCACAGAGGATTATTGTGTCCGTCCGTCCTGCAGGGAGGGGCTGGTCACCCCGTGGTGCCCTTATAAAACTCAACGTTTAACCTACTCACGCCGGCTTGTGCCCGCCCTCACAGTCGGGCATATTTGCGGAATACACCACGTCGCCGTTGACCCTGCAGGCCATTGACCGAGCAACCCGACGTTCCTACCAGCTCCCTCCGCAGAAATGTGTTCTTAAACCCGATACTGGGCTTACCCCCCCCCTAGGTCGACTCAGCCTCAAATGAGTATCCCCGGTGCAGTGTATAAACATCGCCACTAGGGGAGATAAAGGCGGCCGGGCGTGGTTGTTCTGGACCACCCACCCAACCCCTGGTGTGTGCCACAGTGCCGGCCCCCCCCCCTTCACGAGGTTTGTGCCGCTTACTCGCTAACAGCACTTGCCCCCCACAAGTCTGTTAAAGGCGACAAGTCTGTTAAAGGCGACACATCCCGGGTGGTGGTGGGTGGGGGGGGGACCTTTGGCTTCGAGCTGTGAATGTGGCAATGCGGCAAAGTCGATTCTGACGGCGTACAAACAACAAATCGTGCACGAGGTGGTGGTCGTGGTGGTCGTCGTGGTCGTCGTGGTGGTCGTGGTGGTGGTCGTGGTCGTGGTGGTCGTCGTGGTCTGTGCCCCTAAAAACACCGCGAGCTCCACGGGCTCTGGGGGCGACGAACGGAGCGGGGCCCCGCGGCCACGTCGCCTTATCGACTCCGAGGGGAACATTCACAGTCCCCGACACTCGAGACACGGACGACGATGCGCCTCACGCATCAGGCGCACGACACTCGCCTTCATCATCATCATCATTATTATTGAGAGAGAGAGAGGAGAGAGAGAAGGTGCAAGGCCAGAGAGCCCTGGCAGAGAGCATTGACGACGACGGGTAACATCGTGGAGGGCACGAACCGCAGTGACGGCGTGCAACCATCGCAAGCCGCATGGAGTCTGCGGGGCAGTGGGGCCGACGAGAACACAACAACAACAACAACCACCAGCACCTAAGGCGGGGAAGGGGCTCCCCACGTCATTCCAACAGAGACATCGACAGAGACGTCCTCACGAGCATCAGCAGCAGCAGCGGCGGTAACGAAATGGCGCGACCGAGAAGGCGGTGGTTCGTGTGGATGCGAGGTGGTTGAAGAAGACGAAGGGGGGTGGCGCTCACAGTTGCGGATGTCCGAGATGAAGACGGCGAGGCCGCGCATGCCATCGCCCTTGGACACGGCCGGCATTTCGCGAGTTGGCGCGCTTCTCCTCCTGCTGCTCCTCTCCTCAGAAACGACGCCGCCTCCGTCGTGGCGACCGACCCCCCTTTTTGACCCTCCGCTTCAGCGACTCCGCCCCCCCCTCCTCCTCCTCCCCGCTCTAAATTTACGTCGTCAGATGTCGTCGCCGTTGAATTTGTTTTCAGTTTCTCCTCCGCCGCTGCTGCCGCCCAGCAGGAGCCGCCTTCACCGCAGCGCGCAGCCAGCGAAGATGGCGGCCATGACACTCGGCGCCGCGGAGGTGCGGGGGTGAAAGAAATCCGCGGCAGCACTCGCGGATTTGACGTGGAAATCCGCGGCAGCACTCGCGGATTTGACGTGGAAATCCGCGGTTGCCCTCGTGGATTTGACGTGGAAATCCGCGGCAGCACTCGCGGATTTGACGTGGAAATCCGCGGCAGGTCTCGCGGATTTGATGTGGAAATCCGCGGCAGGTCTCGCGGATTTGTGTGGAAATCCGCGGCAGCTCTCGCGAATTTGTGTGGAAATCCGCGGCAGCCCTCATGGCTTTCATATGGACATCCACGGCAACCCTCGTGGATTTTATGTTGAAATCCGTTGCAGTGTCGTAGATTTGATGTATAAATGCGCGGCAGCCCTCATGAATTTGATGTGGAATCTGCGGCAGCCCTTGTGGAATTGACGTGGAAAATCCGCGAAAGCGCCAAATGTCCCCTGTGAAATTCGCGACAGCGGTTAAAAGGGGCACGATGTAAAACACACACAAAAAAATCCGCGGCAGTACCAAATGGCCGCTGTGAAAATCCGCCGCAGCAGCAGCAAATACTGCATCAAGGTAAACTGCGGCAGCGCTCCTTAAATCCGCCCTAGGAAAATCCGCGGCAGAGGCGCTAAATGTCCGCTGTGGGTGAAATCCGCGGAAGCGCCAAGTCAAGTCGGAACGGCCGAAGAAATCTGCAGCATCGCCAAATTCCGCATGGGGAAATCGCGGCGTTCACCACGCCTCGTGTACGCACGCCTGTCAACCACATACGGTTAGCCCGTGCTTCTTGTACAGGGAGATTGAGTTCCAAAATAGTTTTGTCTATTTTTTGTGTTTCTCCCTCGTGATGGACTTTGTAGGATTAACGTTGAAATTTATAAGGGAAACGGGGTGACCGTTTAAACTTTCGTGACTGCAGGGATTCATTTTCTTTGGTTCTTGCGATAAAGTCACGTAGATAGAAAAATAATAATAAAGTGAATATTGTATTTTTATATTTACGTGACTTTACCGAAAGAGGTCTGCATTGGTCTGTAATTAGGTCACTAATAATGGGTTGACAACTGTTTACGTCACCATTGGTAACCGTCGATAAATTTCCACAAATTCCCTGGATATTGTTTTTGTTGTCAATGCACAGAGCCTTTTAAAAAAATTCCGTAGCGTTATTTCGCCTTTTTTTGTTTGAACGAAAAGCGCGAAATTGTTCACATCCGTACACGGCGCGGCTCGTCCACTGGGGGCGTCAAGATGAGATATCAATTTTCTCATAAAATAATACTTTTCTATAGTTTTGTTTAAATTATTATTTCCACGTGCATTGTCTATTGAAGATACCATTTTAAGTTGTTCGTATGATAAACCGCTGTAACGCCACAGTCCGATTTGTGCCTCGGGGCAGCTGTGAAGGCGTCCTCCGAGTGAGAGATTTCCCTTCGCTCATCGCGAGCAGCTTCGAGTATCGTCGCCACGCCGTTTGAGACCCACTCAGGGCGGTGAAACATGCGCCCGTGGCTGCGATGGGAGACGATGTCACGACGCGAGGCTGCACTGGGGACATGTAGCAGGTCACGGGCTCCACGCTCTAGGACACACCAGCAATGGTGATGGCAGTTGGTGCCGCAAACGACGAATTAGCAACGAACACTGCGGAGTGACTACTAAATATTCACTTTGTAAGGATTTGTTGAGTCGTGTCAGCTGATCTTGTTTGTTAGGCAGTGTCAAAGTGGTTGTGTAGTGTGGATTTGAGGGTCATGGGGACAGCTTTTTGTTTCATAGTTTATAAATGCCTACCGTTGGTAGATAAGTGATTTCACTTGCAATTTGTAGAGGAATTTTTTTTAGAGTGTTTGGGCATTACTCAGCTTGTTACACGTTTACTCGCGAAATCCTGAGTCCCCATACTTTTGGGGTGCCGCAATGTCAACTCCCAACCGGGTCTGCACGTTCTCCCCGTGGTCACGCCCATTTTTTCTCCGGGTCCTCCGGTTTTTCTTTTAGAAACGTGCGTTTGAGAGTATTTCGATGCTATGCATTTCCACATAAGCCACTTCGTTGAACTACCGTGCAGTCAGGCCACTTCTGAAAACGAACTACCTGCGTGGCTTTTTCCTGGTATAAAAAATATATTTTTAGGATGGCTCTGCCAAGTGTTTAGTTTGGAGCAATGCTGCCACGTATCCCAATCGAGAAATATGGAGTTTTTTTATTTTTAGTGGACCATATACCCCACCCCCGTAAACAGAAATGATATTCTGCCAATTAGTTCAGCTTGGAGAGGTTTGCATAAACTCTTCATTCTATCAGCACATGAATGCACTATCATTTACATGCAATCCCTCAAAGCACAAACTCTCCATCTGTTTTTAATCTTCTCCCTGCAACATACGTTGTTCCAACGAACTTCATTTCAGATCACCATCAGGGACACATTAATCACTTATATCGCCGTAGGGGATGTGATTAATCTCGCGTCCTAGACCCATTGGGTAAGCCTCGCATGTCGCTACCAAAAAATCTAAAACACTTGTTTTTAAGCAATGGTTGGTAGTTCCCGATTATTGAGCAGCTTCACTCGCTTGCAATTCCATGCAACTGGACAATTGCTTTAATGTAACCACACCCGTGCAGAACAGAGGAATCTAATCAAATAATCTCTCAAAAAGAATATCAATTCAATTACTTACTATAATAACTTTAAACAAGTCCCATCCCTGTTCCCTTGCCAGCAACTGGATGGAAGGTGGGCAGGTCTTGGTGATCAGCATCATTTCGTGCTTAACTCTGGGACACGTCCCATTATCGGGAGACAAGATCGACTACGATCTTTAAAGAGGCCTAAATTATCCATCAAGACTGGGCGGTGGTGGCTACATTCCAACACTGTGGAGGTGAGGGTTGTTGGAACGCACAAATGTCACGAAATTCTACCCATAGGCAGAGCTGCCCATCAAGCTGCTTTGCCAGAACGCAGTACAGCAAAACAATATAACCTCCACGTTCCGTGTTTATGGGACAGTGTTTCCCCCTTGCGCTCGTGTTCTGCAGTGCTCCAGTTTCATCCCACAGGGACAGATTAATTGGCGAACATCTTAACAACCGAGGACCGCAGAGCTTGAGCGATTGTCGGCACAGGCCCACTGCGTGGTTCCTCGCCAAGCCTCCGAGTTACCCTCTCTTTGAGTGCAAGCAAAAGCCGTGTAGCACATTACAAGTTAAAATAATTATAAAAAAAGTAGTCTACCGCAGTTTAGCCGATTAATTTAATCGACCAATCATCATCTCTCTCCATGCTCCGCAAGCCAAAACACAACCTCAAATTAGTTTTTAGCTACTCAAGCCCAACCGGCTGCAACCACCACTATGCACACACTCGGCAAATAATGCACACCTCCAAACAAGGGGAGAAGCTGTCAACGCATCCGCTTTTATTACGAATTTGGCAGCGGAGCCACGACGCCGAGAAGGTTTATCGGTAGGACTTCTGGTAGCGGGCACGAGCGCCGGGGCCACCAAACTTCTTGGGCTCACAGCGGCGAGGGTCGGCAACCAGCAGAGTACGGTCGTACTGTGTCAGGATGTCCTTGATTTCCTTCTTGGAGGCTTCGTCCACATCTAAAAGGCAAGGAGGGTAGTGGAGATGAGGGTAAGTATAAGAGGGGGTTGGGTGGGGGGAAAGAGACCAGAGTGGAAAAAACAAAGCAAATGATTAATGCAGACAGGGGGGGGGGGGGGGAGATACTAGGAGGGTAGGAACGATGAGATGCAGGAACAGAGTGCCAAAGGGAGATCAAGGGTAGAGACAGATGTACACACGAGTGGCACCTTCAAGTTAAAACACGAGCAGCATAGACCACGGAAGGCAGCTGCTTGCACCTCACTGGAAACACGCTTTATACAGAGGCTGGGGGTGCGCGGTGACGTGGCCTAGCGGCAGCGTTCTCACCCAAAGAGGCTCACGGTTCGAATCCAGCGGCCAAACCCCCCCCCCCCTCACTGCCGAACGTTTTCGTTGTATAAATATTCCACGTGCCGTCTGTCACGGCGGGCATTTTAAAGATCCCGCGACGGCATTCGAAGGAGTAGAGCGTCGTGTGCCGGCGTCATGGTTTAAAAAAGATGGCCAAATTAAAAGTGTAACCCGCAATTTAGTCAACTTGGATTAGCACGGATTGGATATGCACGGTGCAAAAAGAAGTTCACCATAGGTACATGTATAGCTGTCACTGCGCCCCCAATGGCAAAAACTTTGCAGGGACCCTGCATGAAAGAGTCAAGAGGAGACTCGGTGAGGCTTTGCTGGGTAAACAAGTATAAAAACAAGGTAGGACTTACACTTCTGGTAGTAGGCGACAAGTGCCTTGGAGATGGATTGGCGAATGGCTGTGGGAGCACACGACAAACGCTTTCGTTATATTGACGAATATAAAACAGCAGCGGCATGCAAGCAGTAAGATAGCAATGCACAGAAGCCTTATGAGAACAAAACTTTCGCGTTACTATTATTTCATTAGCTGTACGTTAAAAACACAATGGTCAGGTATCATCAAGTTTACTGTGACCGATGTCTTAGGACATCCGAATTCAAAGTGTAAGATTGGCAGAAACGTAGATAAGCAGAAAAAGTAATTGTTCCCACGTGTATAAATAAAAACCTCACCGTAAATCTGCGCCACATGGCCACCTCCCTTCACCCTCACACGAATGTCGACGGCGGAGAACCGCTCCTTGCCCAGCAGCAAGATCGGCTCCAGCAGCTGCACATGCAGGGACACGGCAAGGTGAGCACACCGTGAGACACAAAGACAAAGACCACCCCCCCCCCCCGTGGCCTTTAACAGTCTGGGGCAATTGCTGTTAGCGAGCACCTATAATTGTTATTTATTATACCAGGTCAAGCCCACTGAGCTATGTAGTTCTTTTGAAGGAGCGACCTGGCGACAAATAACTTCTCAACGCAGTGACATATCACGTGGAAATTTTTAGCGGCCA